AGTTAGCCACGCGATTTATGCATTATGCTAGGGAGCTGTATGATGTCGTTCGTTCTCTTATTCACCTTTTGTATAGTTAACGGGCGCTGTCACTTGTTGTTGTAGTTGCGATCGCTGACATTGTGTCAAGGTGGACATGGCACATGGAGGAAGCCTCTTCGCTCTTTAAAATCCTGAGGCCGAAATACTAAAATGTACTTTACGCTTAAATTGCTCTACAATGACCCTCCCAATTCACTTCCTTTTCTCATCATTGCATTCTATACCAATTCAGCTACATTATACAACTTTTCCTATCATCCTATGATCACCTTCTTAATTTGGAAATTTACAAACTAACCTGTGACCACCTCGTCCAATTAAATGTCAGGTCCTTGCTCCTAGTTGTCTTGTTCTCTTTCCGTTTTTGTAAAGAAGTCGTAAATAACCCAAAGAGACACTCAAACTAGCACCGAGAATGAAAGGAATATCCAGAGGAAGCCGTAAGTCGAATAAGAGACTGAAGATAAGATAAAAGTATGGAGATAATAAGATAGTTGTATGTTGGTTATTTTATTGCAATGATAAAACTACTGATATTTATACTAAAGTCTATGGAAGATGCTAGTAGCAGGTATTCATAATCATTCTAGAGACATCCTTTGCTAGAAGCATCGACATGGAAGTGATTGGTGTGGTGTGGTGGTGTGATCAATTATAAATTACTGCAAGGAGTGTGAGGGTGCTGGTGTATTCGAGAAGTTGCCAGGGAGATCCAAGGCCGCCGTCGGTCATTGAATGTTTGAAGTCACGTGTGGTGGTCGACCTGGATTCCTGGGCTTGAACCTCCGTCTCGATTTGGCAGGCGTGGGGCCAACACTCAGCTCGTCCACGACATAAAAACAGAGCTGATTAGCGCAGAGGAAGCGCGTTGGGCTCATAACCCAAAGGCCGGTGGATCGAAACCACCATCAGCTAAATTAGGCAATTGAATCGAATGATGCTAGAAGCTTTTTGTTTTCTTGTTTTGTCGTAGGTCATGTGACCACGTGACCTAGCTTTTGCTCGTTCCTTCTAGAACCCTTTTCCTTTTGATGCTGGCAATTGCTAGAAGCCCTTTACTAGCATCTTCCACATCATTCATAGAATCCATACATTGAACATATATATATCGTGAACATCCTTAGCAATAAAAGATCATCACTTATCATAGCAACACCAAAAGTTATATCATTGGCCACTGATCTAATCAGCCATACGATAACGACAGTTTTTGTGGGTCACGTGATTTTTTGCGTTGTCGTGCGAGGGACGAGTCTGTCGTAAGAGGGACGCGACTATACAAAGCCAAAAGCAATAGCCCGTATCGAATAATGTGAATACAACGTGTCGTCCTTTATTTTGTGTTGTGGTGATATTTATATGTATATGGGATAAGGTTATGAGTACAAAAGATATTGGATATACATGTGGGGCGTACAAGTCTATGATGTTGTAGCCATCATCATTTTGTGATACGACAAGTCTATACAAAGCCCAAAGCAATAGCTCGTATCAAAGATGTGTCTATAACGTGTCGTTCTTTAGTTTATGAAAAGGTCATATATATATAGATGTTGGGATAAGGTTATGAGTACAAAGGATATTAAGGAATACATGTGGAGGTACAAAACTATAATTGTTGGATCAATCGATGATACGACAGCGTTTTGTTTGTCGTCTTTCTTTTTGGATCCACACAGGATAATAGACGACTACCACGAAGGATAGATAGACCACACAGGCAAATAGACAATAAATTAAAGAGAACGTAAGATGATGTTTTATTCTATGAGATGGTCCACTATTTATAATTGTTGGATGTGGCGAAGTAATGATGATGGAGGGCGCAGCGTAAAGAAGATAAGATGATAAAGATGTACAAAAAGATAATACCGATCAAGAAGATCCGGTATGTTGCTGCGACATGTTTTTGCGAATGCATGGATTGAGTCGAATGGGTTATAAGAAACGTGTTGTTGTTGGGTATATCATGTCAAGCAATGAGTGGATGTAAAAGCCGTATGATGTGTGTAAAGAGAAGCCTCTAAGTATTCGGCCCCGATTATAAGACCCATTTTAGCTTGTATACATGGTTGATTGTTGCTTCATCATTGCCTTTGTCTCATTGTAAAGCTTGTCAGAGAATCATGGATAACAACAGTAGTAAGCCTGACGATCATCCTAAATTTATTATCGGGGGGGTGGGTGTATAATCTTGTACGAATACGCTAGCAATCAATCATGATCATAAAAGCCTTCCAACCAGGAACAAAAAGTAGGCATTTGAGAGCGTATGAGAGATCGAGATCAAGGGAGGAAAGAGGTAACTGCTTGCTGAAACGAGGTGGAATGACCATGGATAACTATATTCATTCGAGTCGATACCAGCTATGTATATCCAACATTGATTTCCATACCACCATAATCAAACACAAAGTGTGCCATTCTCACAAGTCCATGGCAACCTCAATCGTATCCTTCAAGGTGCATAAGAATAAAGCTTCACCCTTGCTTGGAATTGCCACCTATGATGTATGACCTTGTTACTCTGCCTTTCCTCAAGCACAATACAAGATGGATGTTGTACCTTTGCAGACTTCCCAATAATGTTCGTGCGCAAAGTGACCCTGAAGCATCGCGTAAACCAAAAGATGTAAAGCACGTTCTTGATCCTGTCCCTCATCATAAGCATCCTTCCAGGATATGACAATCCCAATACAGTAGTACCTCCGAAGTTTCATAATAGTAGAGTAATCGATTCAAACAAAGTATCATCTTGAAGGTGTTTCTTTAACCATGGTTGCCTAGCCAACGGTTGCCCCTAGATAATAGCACCTGGATACGAACATGCTCCTTGTGGAAACCATCTTGTCAAACAAACCATATGCGATCCACGTTCCAGCATACCCAATTGTCATGGACCTTGGATAGAGAGGAGAGAACTTGATGACTCTTGGACTGAAGGGAATAAAGCTACATTCAAGGAGCACGTCAATGGGGGCCTTCGCCATGAGCCTTGAGACGGCATTCATCACATTGCTGGTAACACTCCAAATTCGCTTCGATTGCACCATTCACTAGTGAAACAGCACCACCAAGGAATACTTTGTAGGTCGTAAATGGCAGGTTGGGTCATAACTTTTGACGTGTCAAAGAAAAGACGACAGCTCTTGTTCCTGGCGGTTCTTGAATATCCCCACTACTACACTAGCTAGCATCATGCATACAATAAAACTTGCCTCGGGTCCACTGATCGAAGGTACACTATCATTGTGACATGGTGATAAGCATGATCCATTTACAAGACGGTGCTCATCAGACAACCTACCACTGCTTTAATCTTTTAAATCACATGATTGAAGCCGGGTGACCGAGCTAATCAACGAGCCTTTACCTTGTTAATTGCTTATTGATGGCCACAAAAAATCAAGATTTCCCACCTGTCATGATTATGAGATCACTGATAAGCCAACCAAAGGTTTTATTATTAACCGTTGGGCCTTCGATTGGAAAATCCCAATTCACTAATAATCCTAGTAGACATCGTTCTATAATAATAGTAGCTTCACCGAAATAAACGCCCATCTATTGCCGTGCTTCATAGCAAGCTATGTCAATCAACATACAGCGTGTTTTTTGTTTCTCATCTACAGATCCCATTGTTTTGCTATGGCATGTAGTAGCTGGAACACTATCCACTATGCAGTAGACTTTTAGACAATGGTGGTTCTCCATAACTCTTTGGAGGCAACGTTGCTTTGGTGCATTCAAGGCTGCTTATCAGCAAGCGGTATTCATAGACATCATCATTGGCTTTTATTTATGGCATGGAGAGCAAAAAGGGGGTGTGCGATGATCATCATGTTACTATACGATTTGCCATTGCCCCCGTATAGCTGGTTCGGTGGCACCTTCATGAGCCATGCATAGTAACACTGAAATCTTATGGATATAAACCTCGGTAATCTCCCTAACTTGACAACACCAGTAAAGATAGACCTGCATTAATTGCATTAGAATGGGGACGCCAATACGATACAAAGTGATCTGATTCCCGCCCAATAAAGAGACGATCACTTATCCTGCATGACCGACTTTTTGGTGCCAATTGAGCAGCAGCGATGAGTAAATAGGCTTGGTCTGTGCACACAGTCGCGTAGCACCATCATGGTTTGTTGTCTGCATAAAAAATCACGAGTCTTTTATTTACCGACAGAGAGCAGTAGTAGTAAGGGGTATCATTCATGGTGCCCATACAACATGTGTGATAAAAGCTTCGTTGATCGATCGGGATTTGCATGTGAATAGAACAATGCATGCATCATCTTGTCAGCGTCGTATTGTTGTTGCACTTTTAAAGGTGGTGATATGCATGTAGCAATTATCTATTGGATGTGGTGCGACGACGAATCTCGTTTTCCATCTCCTTCTTGCCTCCTCTCCTCGTTTTTCATTTCAGTTTGAGCCACAGCCGATGATAGTAATCCACAAGAAAGAGGACACCATTATCCTTTATGAATGATAAAAAGGAATCTTTTATACAACTTGCATAGGTGAGGGATTATACAAAGGCGTGGGATGATCTAATACAAACAAAAGCCTAATTGGGGTGTGTGTGTGTGTGTGTGATGATAATAAAGGGAGGCCATTGTACATATACTCCCACATTAAGCATGATCTACCTGCATATGAAGAACAAGATGTACATGTCTTTTTATCGTGCACGGAGAGCGAGAGAAAGGAAGAGAGAGAGAGAGAGCAAGCAAGGGAATCATTTCTTATTTGACACATGTTAATAAACATCTCACCTACACTGGGGTCACGGGAAGGGGGAGGGGGAGAATAAGGTGAGCGCCCAAATAAGCAAGCGAGGTATAAAATGGATACTTTCCTTTCTCACCCCCTTATATGTTTGCTGCTACCCCCTTTTCTTTTCTTGCCTGGCAGTCGATTGGCAACGACGCATCTTTCACTCATTCATGGCCGCACCTCCACCAACGGTTGAGGAATGTTGCGACTGGGTGTACGAACACTGTGCAACCTTTGACGATCCTGACAACGACGACCGTAATGTACAAGTAGCTCTTGACAGTGTTGCAATTCTCGTCAATGCTTTGGACGCGCCCGCCAGTGTCGTGTCTCGTCTCAAGGATCGAATCAAGTCGTTGAAACAAAGCGTATCTTCATCACCTGATCAAGTCAAACAAGTGGTAAAGCATATATAAAAGTGTCCCATCATTGGCCCTTGCTCTAACTCAACGTCAACGTTAGGTCAAGCACATCCAGGAGATATGTGACGAATGTAAATCTCATATTGCAGCAACACCTTCATACATTCAATCGCATCGTGATGAATTTCATATCGAACGACCAAAGATCCTACCCAATCGCGCTGTCGCTGATTATGCGTCCATGTGGCCTGATCAATTGGATAATCGAGCTTATTGGTTCCGACAATACTTTGTGGGCAAGCCGTATATTACACTTGTGGGCATGGATCAAGATATCATCATATCGATTGTGAGAGAACGTACCAGCAACAGTGGATACAATCATAGAGTCATCTACAGGGAGAAAAAGGTAGGTACATTTCCAATAACGATGATACGATAAAAAGTTGTTGACATGGTTACCATAGGCCACACTCTATAGTATTGTTGGCGAGAACGTTGCCAGGGAAACGGAGACTGATCTGGAGGTACATGGACAAGGTCATCTATTGGATCATGCTACGCTTATTACGGATCCCAAGGGGCGACGTCGACCTTTGCGCAGTATCTCATCCGCCATCATTTCAACACAACATCAACATCCTACTTCTCCAAGTACACGTACCATGCGTGCTGCCGTCAAATCCGTACATTCAACATTGGACATGCGTGATTTTCGTGAAATGTCAGCCCAAGCTACCATTCTATCAGGATTGGAAAAGGATTTATTGAGATTTGATGAAAACGAGATCCCTCGATGCTACAAGTTTGGTGTGCTTTCAGTGCATGATGGGCAAACAACCGAAGAAGAGTGGTTCGGCAATTCGCAACTATCTGAATCGCTGGAACGATTTCTCCACATCATGGGCAAACCCGTTGAACTCTGTGGCTATAAAGGATATTCAGCTGGACTGGATACAAAATGTAAGGTTACATAAAGGTATAGGCAAAAATGAGACTTATGAAAGACACATAGCAGGAGAATCGGGTGAAACGTCGTTTGCATCATCATGGCGCGACTGCGAGATCATGTTTCATGTGGCTCCGTTGATGCCTTTGAGGGAAAATGACAAGCAACAAGTTCATCGTAAGCGATACATCGGCAATGGTATGTAGTATGATGTGGGGCGTATAAATATGCATGTATGTACAAAGACGCTAATGCAGGCAGTTGTATGTAGATATTGTTTGCATTGTGTTTGTGGAAGGAAAAACGGCAAAGTTCGACCCAGACGTGATACGATCTCAGTTTTTGCATGTGTATATTGTTATTCATCCTGAAGGGAAAAATGCATGGAGGTAAATGATACAAGAGGGTGGGGGTCATCATCATCATCATCATCACTTCTTTACTCATAATAAGGCATATCTAGGGTCCAAGTAGCAACGAAAAAGAATGTAATGGATTTCACCCCTATGCTTTCCAGCCCCTCCGTTATCCGTGATGAAGATGAATTACGTGCATTTCTCCTTTTGAAAAGTAAGTAAAAGAGATATTAAACTAGCTGACTGGTTGGGTCTAATGTACCACGTGGTCATGTAGTGATCAACGCGGAGAATGCGGCATTGAAATCCGACAGCTTTACTTTACCCAATCTTCGGGCGAGAGAAGGAGCTCTCAAGGCACATAGCACCATGGCACATCAATTTTCAGAAACCCGACCTAGATTTGAAGAGGAGGTGAAACGCACCGAACGACCAAAATCCGCTGGAGCGCAACGTATCTCACGTGGCAGTATGCGTAGCCTACGTTCTGCACTCGTTGATAATCGTCCCATTACACCTGATTTACCACCGCCGCCTGTGCCCATATCATCACGTTCAAGCTTGTTGAGGGATTGGAAAAATTTGACTCGTCGAAGAAGTAGTGGTGGACCTACGCTTGCTAGTAGTAGCAGTAACCATAACAACAACGGCAGCAGTGGCACCGCGTCGCCTAGCAGCAGTCGTGGACCCTCACCACTTTTGATGCATTCACAACAACAACGTCCAATTTTACTTGAGGATACCAAAGCAACAACCTTGTCTTCGTCACCAGCCGAAGGTAGTAGTATAAAAGGTGTGAATGGATGACAAAATCGCCTAATGCAGTAAAGAATGGGAAATAGACAGCGACTCATCCGTCCACATTGTTGAACAAGCGAGACACAAGAATATACCACGGACCACAACAGGAGATGAAGGCAGCAACAACAACAACAGCATCAAATCCAAAGCACATCATCTAGTGAATAGCGTCATTGGTCGTCGTAACGTTCCTCCCATTATTCGCTCAAAGACCTTTATGATGGATCACCCGGCAAAGTTGATTCAACAAGGCACCCATGATCGACATGACAAATGATATAAAGATACACACATTTCATAACCCCAATCACTCGTCATTCTTTTTTGTAAAGCCGCCCATTGCCATACATGGTGAAGATCGTCATCATCCCCCATTTTCTCTGCTAACCCTCAAAAAAGTTAACTATATAGCAAATCCCGAATCATCATTTAGTAAACTTTTTGTACACATGTAAAGAAGTATGGGCATGAATAAGAGTGCGTGAGAGAGCGTGCGCTCATGGAGAGAGGGGGATAGGAGAGAGAGAGAGAGAAAGAATAATGCATTGCATACAAGCGACGGACCACGACAAGATGATGATAAAAAAAAGACACTGGTAGAGAGAAAAGAGGTGTGGGGGAATAATCCTAGTATAACAAATATTAAAATGCGGGGCGTGTGGACGCGATAAAGTGATTGCGTATGTGTGTGTGTGTGCTTGTAGGGAACGATAATGTATCCGTCAAGTTGCTTTCGCTACGACAAAATGGATTGGATAGGAATCGAGGGGTATTGTTTGTGCGGATGGTGCTAAATGTGTGTTGGTGTTGGTGTGTATTTGGCTACTTGAATCCTCTCATTTTGTTGTTGGAGTCGTTTATAAAAGACCTTCCTTTGCCAGATTCTCGTGCATAATGATATTGTTGACGGCGTTCATGACGAATTTGATTTGTTTTGTCTCTGTAGCGCACGTAAAATGGGTGTAGATTTGTTTAGTGTCGGCACGAGTGTTGAGTGCAACGAATTTCTGGAGGAGATATTGACATGCAGCATCATAACGATCGCCGCCCTTGTAATCATCAAAGTACTTTGAGAGTGGGCTTCGTGGCAATTTCTCTGCAAAGAGATCAATCTTGTTGAGGAAAAGAATGATGGATGTTTTGATAAACCACCGGGAGTTGCAGATTGAATCAAACAAGGTCAAAGATTCTTGTAAGCGATTGACAGATGCATCTTCAAATAACACTTGATCGTATTCAGAAATAGCGACAAGGAAAAGTAACGTCGTAACGTTTTCAAAACAATGGATCCACTTTTTGCGTTCTGATCGTTGACCACCCACGTCTACCATGCGATAGGTCAAGTCGCCAATCACAAATGTCGTTTCGGTGATACCCGTTGATTTGACGCGTGATCGCAATACATCCTGGTCGCTAGGGATATAGTGTGGTTGGCCGATACGTAGAATAGAATCGAAATAGCTATGGAGAGCAGTATCAGTGAGCCTTATTCCAAACGGGAGATTGTGTTCGTGCACATTACGTGTGTTTGTGATACTTACTACCGTGCCGAGTCATTCAGTTGGAATTCATTGGCTCGGTCAACACAATCCTTTACAGCCGGGTCGTCCCACAAGGTTGCAATCGCTTCCACAAGCTCATGGCTCAAATAATCGACTTGGGGTGGAGCCTCCAATACCAATCGGCGATGCACTTCGTTTTCTTGATTACGGAAAACAATGCCAAGATCTTGCATTGCTTCCATTGTCACACGCATCGATTGGATGGTATTACTGAAAATCACTTCTTTAAAGCTTTCTCGCTCTTCAGGTGTATAGCCACCATCATGGATGAGCTTCATTTGTTTCAAAATGGTCGATTTGCCGGATTCACCAGCCCCTTTTTTCATTGTGTGAGCGATGCGTAGGGTGTAAGGTGGCGATAGTCATCGTATTTACCTAGCAGTAACATTTTGATTTCCATCTTCATGTTGGCTCGGTCACGCTTGATTTGCGCTTCGATCTCATCGTTTCGTTGTTTTTCCTCAACACGTTCAGCAGATTGGCAGCAACCCATCTTTATATGTAGATCGTCGTGTGTCGTAGATAAATCGTTGTTGTTGTTGTTATTGTGGCGTCTTTATCGGTGATTGTACTTTATTCGACGAGATGCTGGCTGTTGGATACAGTACAAAAGGATGAAAAGAGCGTTGAAAAGAGAAAAAAGATGAGAAAAGATAGGAAGGAGACACAAAATAACCAGCCTGTGTGTTATTTGTTGTCGGTGGCAGTAACGGTTCCACACTTTATTACCACCCTGATTGCGGTCAAACAGGTTTACAACCCCATTTAGGAATCGCTCGGTGCTTTCTTTATTCTGGTCATTATCCACACAGCAAAGCACATTCTTTACAAAGGTAGTAAGCATCATCACCCATCCACATTCATTGTGTTTTATTGTTATCTTGGCCCTCCCAAATCCATCTTGTATTCAAGATGACAAGGGGTAAGGGGGGATAAAGCAGGTGTGCAGTATCCCTTCAATTAAACGTTTTTTTTCAGGCTCCACCTGAAACTTTGTTGCATGTGCAGATGCAGGGCTGCTACACCATAGCACATATCTACCATGTTTTTCTCGTTGCCACATGTCACTTGGACTACCACTTGTATATCGTTTACACATCACACACATATATATTCACATACCTTGTAACCCTTTTGGCTGATGATGGCGGTGATTTGGTGAAAATAGGAACGATCGTCATAGCCGTCAAAGAGCAAACGGGTAATACCAAGTTAATTAGTTTTGGCATACGACATCACAAACGTTAACAATCCCCTGATTGATAACAATCCATGATCATCGTCGTTGTCGCTGACGCTCTGTGATTGTTGCTCTCATTCACTTACTCACTTACCCTCCCAACAAGAGGGTCATTGGACACATGTGTTGGTTCGCTCTCACAAGGTGTGACAAACATCCCTTTTTCCTCTCACCCGGAAAAAAAACCAACACTGCTACTTGACTCCCACTCATCATCACCTCCATTTCCCCTTTGCCTGTGTGTGCTTGTTTGAGATCAAGTGGTGCCGTGCAACATGTTTTTTGAAACGCGTCATCAGCAATGTGACACGACCGCACACCAACGGCCTACACTCTTGTTTGGCAAAGCACACACACACACACACAACTACATCTCTGACGCTCCCCAGAGGCTTGGCTTGGCACACATACACGCACGCGCGGATATACCACCTATGTGGTAAAAGTTGGGCATGTTAATTAGACACAGCCTGGATCCTTTCTTTTTGCACACCACTTTTTTTTTTCTGTCACATCAATGGAAGAAAAATGGGAATTACTATGTGTGCTGTGCCTCGTGTTCCTTGAAACATTCTAGATCCCTAGCAATGCTACATCAGGCAACATGTCATTTCCATACACTCCTTCTATTGGCTAATGGCCTATATCCAAACCAGGCTATCATTGCATTTACATGCATCATCAGCAATGGGACAACAAAGGTCTCGAGCAGTTCGGGATCATGTAAAATGAGATTCTTGTTGGGGGTAATAACCTCAGCCGCTTTGCTGGTTGTGCTATGAGAGAGATTTCCTTTTTCGACCGTATCTCCCCGTTCTCTTTACGCTTACCACAACCAGCGTCCGTGCGTCACTCAGGTACCAGCAAACACAAACAATGCGCCTCGTAAGCATTCTTAACCAATTGGCTCTGGGTCATGTTTGTTGTTCAACAACCTGTTGCAGATGGTGAGAGTAATTGCATTGACAAAGTTTTAATATGTGGCATCTGTGCCCAGCTATAAAGACCTTGTTGGATTTGTGGGCCGGCCTCCAATAGGTGGCCTTGTTAGGTATCCTGGCAACAGCCTTCATCAATAAGGGTTCTACATCGCCAAAGTTGACCTTAAGATGGGACGTTAAAGAAGATGCAATTTAGTACAGCTTCATGCAATATCTTGTACGCAATTAGAGACCCATAGCTGTTTTATCTTAGGCTTGGATGATCAATAATATCAGCATGACTACGTATTATCGACGCTCACTGGGACTATTTTATTCGCTTTGTTACGGTATGTCTCAGGTTGCCAAGTGGCAACAAGCAGTTGCTTGGCAACCAAGCTGTTGCATGGCAATCAAATCACTGTTGTTTAAAGGGGTTTGTTACGAATGTGTAGCCCCAAATTCACCCACTTTTTCTTTACCTATCATCGTTGCGCTGGATTTACCAACATGTGGCAAACGTCAGCTCTCAAGTGATATGGGTACATTGTATGGGGCATGTCAGCTATACGTAATGTATCCTAAAGTCGAGTCTTGGGACGCGTATACTGTTTGGGAAGATAAAGTCGCCATTGTATTGGTTGATTGGCAACCCAGATCTTTTTGCATTAACATGGCTACTAATTTTATGATTTGACGTAACCATGATAGCATTCCGCTCGAATCTGATTCAATCAAAACCAAGTATGAGCAAGCATGAACGCTTTGGTCAATTCAACAAGGGTCTGTCGATCATAAAATCTCATAATGACGTTTGATCAAATCGACGATCGAGGCTTATAAAAAGGGCCTGACGCAGAAGCAGTAAACGATATCTTTATTCTCATCACCATGTCGTACAATCAACAATACTCTTCTACTGGCACTGGACAAGGCAATTACAGCGGTGCTGATATCGATCGTACCATGCACGACCAAACCTATCAATCCGAATACACTGGTAGCCAAAATGAGCCATTGAATCAATCAAGCTTCAACGATAACAACAACACCAGTGGATTTGCAAACAACCCCACCACCACACAACAATCGTCGGGTGGTCAATATAGTGCTGGTAATACGGCTGGTGCTACTGGTGTTGCTCAACCTCAAAGCCAAACAGGATATGATCAAACTCAAACGTCTGCTGCTGGTCAACCACAACAACGTCAAGCCGGATGGAATCAACCTTCGACTGCCGATAGCTACCAAAACATTGGTCAACCACAACAAGCTGAGCGTGCTCCCTCTGCTGGTGAACGTATCAAAGGCAACATTGAAAAGCTCGGTGGTAAATTGATGAATGACCCCAACAAGGTGGCCCATGGTGAAGATATTGCACAGGGTCGTCGCATGTAATCATGCCTGTATGACATCCCTCATGTCGATTTGTAAATAGTCCCTTCCTATTCCTCGAATAAACAAAAATGTCAAAATCATTCATTTTAGTGCTGTCGCTGTTGAACTTTTTATCTTTTGCTCTCTCTCTTTCTCATATCCGATACGCTTTTAAATGGCTCCCACCAGTCTTATTACACCTGATACTCGAATCAAGTATGCTCATCCCTTTATTCGTCTCAATTGTAAAAAGAGGGCTGACATGGGAGTAGAGTTAGCTCCGTGTTGAATCGCGACACGACATCGTTTGGCAAGCAGTTCTTGACTGACGGCAGCGAAGAGACGTGTTGGAACTCTGAGCAGGTACTTTATACGATAGCAACGTTGTCGGTGTAGCAGTCCACTCAAGATACGTAATAGGGGCTTCCACAACACATTCTTTGCGACTTTGGAGGCACAGCATCCATTCACACGATCCTATTTATGTTCCAAGGTGGCTTTGTTGGCAAGACATGCCGTGCACTTGGTAGTCTTGCCGATAATCCCAATGATTATTGCGTGGATCTCGGTAGCTTTTATCCTGAAGACATCAATTCGACACAAACATTTGCATTGGATCCAAGCACTCCCGTACAGCGTCTCAAGATTGTGTTTGAAGAAAGCACCGATTTTTATGGTCGTATTACAGTCTATAAGATGGATATTCTCGGGGAACGCACGACGGCATAAAGTTGTATGTATCAGATACCAGCTGCTGTCCGGTTATTGAATCCATATTTGCCAACCCATCCAATGATCACAATCAATCCCACCACAGAAGCGCCTAAAAAAGTTGTTAGACGACTCGTTTCCATGACAATGATCCCTTTGTATTCCCACATTGTTTTACCTAAATAATACTGCAACACCATACGACGGCCCATTGTAAGGATGCCACCTTTGGAAAGTCCTTGTGGATTGAGTGTGAGGAGAAGGGTACAAACAATACCCAAAAGGATTGTGTAGGGTAATCCAACTAAGGGGGGGGGTGCATAGTGTGAGAACAATGACGGCAAGCAATGACAATGAGTAACAACCCAACCCGCGTACCATAAGTGCCATAAGGGAAATCAATAGCCACACCAGCAACCAAAAGTCCATAAATCAATGCAGCAATTGCAAATACAATTTGATCACCGGTTTTAAGAGGCCCATGTAGCTGGTTCCTGAATGCAAAGATTTGCACCCATGACATCCACACCGCACCTATGTAATAATCAAAGTCAATAAAGAATACCTCCAAGTGATGGTGATGGTGGCAGTGTACATACCAAATGCATACATGTAATGGGCAATGATGTGTTCCCAAAAGTTTCGCATGTACGAATAAATAGCTTGGAGTTCGTCCGCCACATCAGGGTTGGCTGCCATCAAAGCAGGGTGCGAGTTGATAAAATCTTGTACAGGATGCTAGCAGTACGTATTCATACATACCAGTGTGAGCCGATTGAATGATCCATTTACTATCCCCACCACCTTTTACCTTGAACATTGCAGCTGATAAATGCACGCCATGTCCTTGTACATAGATACCAGCACCTACATACAAATGCTGTTGTTTAGCGTCATGTGATACATCATCTGGTATCTTGGCACCTACCCACAGCCCATAATATCCACACCAGTGTTCGTTCTCGTGCTATAGCCATTCATCCACATCTAATGAATGAGTAAATCATAAACCATCTTGTACCTTTTAGCAAATCTTACCATGCCTAGAACTCCAATCTCGTAAGGGTATTGCATAAAACATGATGAAGAGGTTCAATGGCAATGTAATGACCTGTTACACAGAGTGAGAGCGCGCCACCCAATGCGTCCATGATCAGTGACCACAATAAAGCGCTGCGTGTGTGTGTATATGCCCAATAGAACTCACTGGATCGATCAGTCGAAAGATAGCGTCGCCGGTTGTCATGGTATCAACATAGGGAAACGATGCCACGGCAGGAATGACTGTGAAAATGAGCATTGCAAGCGGGGTCATGAGAAGGAGCCATGCCAAATGACGATCGTTGACATTGGATGGGTTGTCGGCGGAGGAAGGAGGCGACGGGTATCCTTGAAGGTCGTGGTCGATTAAGCCTTGGTTTTGTGTCGCTGAAGGTTGTATATCAAAAGACTCGCGTTCTTCTACGGGACCAGCTTTGTATATGGAGGGTAGTTCATAGTTGTAACGGCTATCTTGATACATTGAGGAAAAGGAACAAACGTCTATTGTTACACCCGCCGCCTTCCCCTTTTGTGCTGCAAGTAACAAAATGCTTGGCAAATCAACATACTACTACGGCTAACAACGAGGGTCCTTATATCGCTCTGCCATCTACCTGATATCCTTTGCATAACAAACCCAACCATGTTCATTTTACAAGACACAACCTCAATAAACGTACTCTTGTCCTTTGCTTTGCATGTTTAATACAATTTGCTTTTTTGAGCCCACGTGACACATCAGCATGTTGCCAGCATTACTAAGGTCTCTAACATTCCATCATTGCTGCTTATTACTCGAATACCTATATACCACCCTGGAGTATTAATCACAATAGGTATGTAGATATGAGCACAGCTAGTGATTTGTGATAGCAGATCACCTTGCCATTGCTATCTCGAATCCTGATTTATGCAAGGATAATTGAGCACACCAAGGGTAGAGGCCCCACATTCCCAACAACATTTATCACCCTTTCCTCCTTTTTTCTTTGATCAAAGAAATACCCACGCCAACCATGCAGATATAAACAGAAGGGTGTTGTCGCCTCGTACATCTCTTTTTTCTTCCTTCATATCACTCTTTGATTGCTGTCATGTTCAAAACCCAACAAGTTAATGCGAGCACCATAGTGGATAAATCTTTTTGTGATCCATGTACCAATATTGGTGATGATCTTTGGCCTCTTGATAAGGTAAAACCTAATCATCTCACTTGATGATGAAGCACTCGTAATAATAACCCTCCTTTTGATGTAGCTGTTTAACCTCGATTCATATACAAATCTGGATTGGATGGCATGGTCTACATTGGTTGGTGCATTAGCAAGATGTACATAGCCCTCATGGCGGTGATATGATATAACGGTTTCTCCTTGTTGTCACATTAATTATGTAAATGCGGATGAAAAAGGCCACGCCGTAAGGGTATCAGGCAACAAAATACCCAGTTACTCTAAACCTCGACTGGCAATTCAACATTTCGCATTGTCAAAAAGCCTTCTGTGTGATACGAAGGAAGAAGTACTTGGTCTTCTCGAGCAGCAGGATGCAGCTATCATCCCCCATAAACATCAATATCAAACAAAACCAACCATCCATCGTTCGACGCCCATCAAGAAATTGACCACAAACAATCGAGAGACCAAATGTTGGGAGTAATAGCCGTCGACAAGGTGGCCCTTGTTCAAGGTCCAGGCCCTGTGCTGGATGTCGAACAACAAGCACAAACGCGATCGTCCTGCCATTGATCACGTGGACAATAGCCTGCAAGATCATATCAAACAAGCATTCGTGTCAACCATTGACTGAAATTTCTTGTGGTGAAGTTGGTACAATTATTGCAGGATTCCACTAGTTGGCGAAGAACCAAAGGCGTGGATTATGGCTTCCACACATCGTTAGGTGTCCACACCACCAGACAAGAAGAAGATGGTGGACACTGTATATCCAATGTATTGGCAAGGGCAAGGATCATTTAAAAGAGATCAATGTTATAGTGTATGCATACTTTTGTTTATTGCTTGATGTAATACAATCCATGTTTTCTCAACCTTGGTCATAATGATGCTATGGTTGTTGTGGCTTCTGGTTCCAAATTAATTTCCTGCGGGGTGCGTGGGGCTGGGCGGGGTGTGGCAAGAGATCTTTGTTCAATGCAATCGATCTTTTACAAGCCACAGCGATCTACCTTCTTTGTGTCCACACGTTACATACAACTTCTCTTGCAGCAGCATTCGCCATGAATACACAAAAAGTCGGCATTCTAGGAGGCAAATATGAATAAACGACATTACGGGCCTTGTCAACAGTACAACTAATGCGGGAATCAATAGGTGGCCAATTGGGTCGCATGATGGTGGAAGCTGCTTCTCGCTTGAATCTCTCGGTGACCATTCTTGACAGCCCTGTCAATTCCCCTGCCAAGCAAATCGAGGCGACGCAAGAGCACATTCATGGAGCATTCAAGGATCCCGTCAAGATTCGTGAGCTTGCCAGCAAGGTGGACGTGTTGACAGTTGAAATTGAGCACGTGGACGCTCAAGTCCTTGCCGAGATTGAAAAGGAAGGCAAAGTCAAGGTGCATCCTTCTGCAAAGACGGTTCAAACGATCCAAGACAAGTATGCTCAAAAGCAACATTTGCAAGCACATGGTATTCCTGTGGCCGAGTATATGGAGACCCCTGATGCCGATGCTGTTGCTGCTGCTGGCAAGCAATTTGGATATCCCTTCATGTTGAAATCAAAGACCATGGCTTATGATGGCAAGGGCAACTACGTGGTGCGCTCTGCTGATGACATTCCTGCCGCTATGGAGGCCTTGAAGAACTTGCCCTTGTATGCAGAAAAGTGGGCTCCTTTTGTCAAGGAATTGGCTGTGATGGTGGTGCGTCGTGCTAATGGCGAAGTGCGTACTTATCCTGTTGTCGAGACCATTCACAAGAACAGCATTTGTCATTTGGTCATTGCTCCTGCTCAAGCTGATGGTGCTGCCCTTGCCAAGGCTCAAGCCATTGCCGCTGATGCTATCAAGTCCTTCCCTGGTGCAGGCATTTTCGGTGTCGAGATGTTTTTGATGGAGAATGGTTCTATTTTACTCAACGAGATTGCACCACGTCCTCACAACTCGGGCCATTACACGATTGAAGCATGTGAGACATCCCAATTTGAAAATCATATGCGTGCTATCCTTGATATGCCTCTTGGTTCTACTGAAATGAAGGTGCCAGCATCCATCATGGTCAATTTGCTTGGTGAATCTACCAGTATGGAAGAATGCTATCGTCCTTGCCAGGAAGCTTTGTTGGTGGATGGTGCTACGATTCATTTGTATGGCAAAAAGGAATGCCGTGCAGGTCGTAAGATGGGTCACATTACTGTTGTTGGTGAATCCATGATGCAAGTCCAAGATCGTCTCAAGCCTATTCTTAAAGCCATTGAGCCTGATGTGGAGCGCAACTTGTCCCTTCGTCCTTTGGTGGGTATCATCATGGGTTCCGATTCAGATTTGCCTGTCATGAAAGTGGGCGCCAAGATTCTCAAGGACTTTGATATCCCCTTTGAGCTTACTATTGTTTCAGCACATCGCACTCCTGATCGCATGTTTGAATACGCCCGCTCTGCAGCTGAACGTGGTCTCAAAGCTATCATTGCAGGTGCTGGTGGTGCCGCTCACTTGCCTGGTATGGTTGCTGCCATGACGCCTCTTCCAGTTATTGGTGTTCCTGTCAAGGGAAGCTCGCTTGATGGTGTTGATTCGTTGCACAGCATTGTGCAAATGCCAGTACGTATTTGATAAACCAATCAATTGGGTACACAATAGATGATTAATCACATGGTTATACAGCGTGGTGTACCTGTTGCAACAGTGGCAATCAACAACAGCACCAATGCCGCCCTCCTTGCTATTCGTATGCTTGGTGCTTTCATTCCTGGTGTTCTCCAAAAGATGGATGCCTATATGAAGAAAATGGAAGGCGAAGTTCTAGGCAAGGTTGATCGTCTCAATGCTGTGGTATGTAACGCCAATCCCAAACCTTTTGGCATCTGAGAACTGACAATCCTGCTCGGTTTTTCCTTTTATGCTAGGGCTGGGAAGAATACTAAGACTCATTTGGACGACCCAATCATTTGCATGTGTATATAGAGAAGGTTTAGAAAAAACAAAAAGCCAACAAAATCAAGATTTTTTATGTATATCCTTTCAATACTTCTCTCCTTATCCTTATTAGTGTAGCGTTGATCAATTGTATCGCCCCATGTCATACGATATTGATGTGGATACTTCTTGTAAACATAAACGCCGCGGTCTCGGTCTTTGCTCCGATCAACTCCTCTGCTGCTGCTGCTGCTCCTCCTCCCCTCCTCCCCCCCCACACGTACTACTCCACAACGAAAGCATAAGCACGTTCTTTTTCTAATTGAAGCAACATCCATTGTTCAGCAATGAAGATGAACCTATCATCATGCTGTGTGAGAGATTGGGTTATCGGTCAACTTCTTGGAAAAGTAATTGTCACCAAGCTGCAAACGGCAAGCCAAGTAATAATCACCAGATGATATAATATTTTACGCGGTGTCGCCTTGCTTTTCGGCGTCATGATCGTTTGCATTTCCACATTGAGCATAGAATTTGGGGGTATGCTCCTCGCTTCTTTTCCCCCCAATGATACAGATATCCTAGATTTATAATGCAACACAGATAGCAGATCACGAATACAGCCATACGCATAGCTACTTGTATGCATGTACAAGCTCCTATAATCGTGTGATTTTCCACTAAATCTTCTTTGTTTCTAATTTCATGCACAATAGAGCTTATGGTATTGTGCCGCTGGGGGGTGGGTTAATTGAGCAACAGTAATAACAAAAAGAGACACTCTAAAGAGGTAGAGACGTTGGGGGACAAGGGCGTGCGTGCGTTTTGTGTGATGATGGGTAACCTTGGTTGTGGGAATCGTATTGCTTTGTGTGTTGCACATGGCAAATGAGATAATGATATTGGTTTCATTTCAAACCAGCTGTTCACTGGTACCACTGGTAGGCTGTGTATGTGTGTTATGTGTGTGTGATCCACACAAATGATGGATTACCAGGGAAGATGTATCACTTCGTTGTGCAAGCTAATGACATCAATTGCATAATCTGCACTTCTTCCAAGAGAAAAGCGGGCTTGCATGACATTTGGGGTGACATACTTCTTTGGGTCTTTCGGGGTTAGGGTCACGACTCTTGGATTGGCACTGCGATTGTATTTTATAACAGTAAATACCGCTTCCAGTTGAAACATGACATCATGAATCGGTCCTTTGACGACTTTTCACTCAGTTGTAAATTTTTTATCTCTTGAAGGAGGACTTTTTTGCTTCCTCATTTAGTTATCGTCGTACAGCACCGACCATAAAACCCTCCCTCTCATCTCTCCTGGAACGACATCTTGCTTTCTTTTTTATCTACATACTTTTTTTCTTCACTATGCGCCCACACAACAACATGTCGTATTCACATCAAGACTGCAAAACATTACGCTTCAATAATCTCGACCCTCGTGTTGACGACCGTATGCTACATTCCATCCTCTCAACAGTCGTACCAGTCGATCATGTACACATGGCCGAAGAGTCTGATGAGCGATGGAGTGTAAGTGAGCAAGATGATGAGGTGCGCATGGGTGATCCTATTTTCTTTTTTTATCTATGATTCTCTTTTTGCATTTTGACGGTATCTTATCCATCGACTGCAAGCAGCGGTCATGATTGGCCGATTGCATCTAATCATTCTTTTGTGGAAGGGGTTACAAAGAACCTTGTGTGCGGACTTGCTAACGTAAAATATCATTTATTTTATGTAGGCTTTGGATCATCATGCCTATGTTCGTTTCCACGATCATCACGCGGCTGAACAAGCTTTCCATGTAATGGATGGTCGTACTCTTTTTGGCAAGGTGAGCGTTCTACCTAATTTTCTGCTGGGGGCTATCTCAGCATACTTTTTGTTTATCACACACCACATACATACCCCCTTGAACGATGCCATGCCCTCTTCCCCCAACATCAGATTTACTTATCGCACATCTTCTTCGTCGTCCCAAATAGGTAGTTGAAGCTACCTGGAATGAGCCAAAAAAGAAGAGTAGCAGCGACCAATCCACATATGGTGTAGTGATGAAGAATCTCAGCCCGGATGTTAGCACCGAATCCATTCGTGAATCATTGACACCATACAAGAAGCAACTAAGGTAATAACAAAGAGAACCATAGGGATTTTTTTGCAATCTCCCCTGCTGACGTGTACTTTTCCAACTAGTCAAATCGAATTCATTTGGGACAATGCCACCGGCAAGACCAAAGGCATGGCTCGTGTCAATTTCCTTGATGAAAAGAGCGCACATGGAGCAGCAGAATCACTCAACAATACGCAGCTTGGCAAAAACACTATTCAATGCGCACCACTTTCATCATCATCATCCTCATTATCATCTGAGAATACTCGTGCGTATAGTCACGAACAAAATGTCGAAGCTCAGCAATCGCCATCACTCACACCCGCATCGTCGTCCAACAAACAATCCTACGATGATATCTTTAACGGCGCTCCTCTTCCAGTCACCACCGTATACGCTCATCCTCTTCCATCAGAGACAACGAGTAAGTAGTAATAATGCAAGTTACATACCTTTGATATTAACATTGCTCTTTAGAACAAGATCTTTGGTTCTACTTTTCTCAATACGGATACGTATCCGGCATCGACTTGCATCTCAACGAGAACTATGCCATTGTGAGGTATGTCATGCGTATGACTCATAGATAAGCTTTGCAATTCTCTAACCAACATGTTTATTTTACATAGTATGGATACCCATGCCAACGCTGCCTTGGCTATGTTCTCTTTGCAAGAGTTTAAATTACACGATGAGCCTGTTCAACTTGACTGGTCTACAAGCGAAACTGCAAAATCTTCCCTAACGAATTCACCACCAACATCCTCCTTTGCATCGGCCGCCCCTGTTGCGTCCACGTCATCTCATCCATCGGCCGTATTGAACGACACCAACAGCTCTAAATCTCCCTTGTTCCCTTTGCTTCGTACAGCTACTTCTACTTCCCATCGCCATGATGCCCAAGGTTTGGAGGTTATGGAATCATCCGTATACCATATCCAGCCCCAGTGGCCATCCTCTGTCACCGATCAGTATTATTACCACCCTGCTTTCGGCAATACAACATGACTACTGACAAACACAAACGAACAACAACCATCACAGCAGGCATCATAAGAGTGCCCCCATTCCCTTGTACACACACACACACACATACACACATATGCGAAGAGAGAGAGAGAAAATTGATTTGTATATATTATATACCCAGCCATTCCCCCCAATCCACCCAACCCAGCATCGCTCTCTAATGCGAGCCAAGTAACACGACATGACAAACACGACTTATCGATCAGTACATATCTCAACCACTCAGCAGGGCATTGAGAGAAATTGAAAAAGAAGAGAGAGAGCGAGAGGGTGTGTGTGTGCAGTGAGGGTGGGATAATTTGTCATCAGTAATGAGTAAGAGCAACACAACCAAGACGTTAAAAGCAAAAGATATGAGAGAGCTACTTGCTTCTAGCTCAAATGATACTACATACTAACCCGCGCATATATGAATCAGGGGATCTTGTGTGCAAGGTTTGGTCGTCTTTCACTCACACGACATTCTGTATTGTATCACTGCAACAGCACCATGACAACCCCGTTTCATCATGTTGAACAACCCAATCTACTATGAGCAACACGAGTCGGCAAAAAGAAGAATTACGTGGTGCTGCGTGTATGATCGGGGAGTTTGATGCAAATAGCTTTACACACATGACGTTGACGAAGAAGCTTTTCAACGAGTTGCACCATGGATACGCTATTCCTTATTACTATGAAGGAGTAACGACGGCAATGAATTGCACCGCAAGTACCACTTGTAAAAGGGAATGTGGGTGGTGCACCAGGTTTAAAGTATCTATGTAGGTTCGACATCCTATTGTAAATTTTTTTGGGGTTGTTGTTTATTAACTTTGTAAAACTCCTCCTGACTCCAAGACGCAGCAGTTGTTTTCTAAAAGGATAGTACAATAAACTTCATCCCAAAGGAATCTAAATACATTTGGCTATGCAAGGCATGTTTCTTTTTCACCACAAAAGGTGCCCTAATAAAAGCTCACGTTGTGTGAATGGCAATTGCTTATCAAGCCTAGCATGATTCGCTTATGCAGAAAACTAAACTTTAATCGCCTTCTGGGTTGTTCGTTTCGCTCATAAATTTCTGTATATCTCAGGGCAGCGAACAAGTCAATCCGTATACGCTATTTAGTTTCTAGTTCTTCCTCTCATTCAAGACTGTTGCCCACATGTGAACGATGCTACTCGTGCTCCAGCTCAACATTTTCATCCATCAATTGTCTAGATCCGCAAGCATTTGGCTGAGCTAAACTGGAGCTTCCGGTCCTTTCATATATAGCCATCCCCCAAATCATGCCCCTCCCTCTCAAACTTTTCATAGTGAAGCGTGGAGGCTTTATGAGAATCGAATTGATCAGCGTATCCGAGAGTATCTTGTGGGAAATTTTTGAGTTCGAAATGGGCAATCTCAAGGTAATGGACCACCCACCTACTTTTATTCATCGTATCTCCTACATTTGGACACTCCCATTCATAATCTTCATAATGAAGTATGGGTTCTTTATTAGAAAAAAGTCATCAGCATGACCAAGAGCATCTTGTGTGAAAGTTTCAGGTTCGAGAGGGGCAATCTCAATATCAAGGATTGATGTACAGTGTTCATGCATCTATACAAGAGGTGTCCGACCGATTTACTTTCCACTTCTTCCACTCGCCAGCTTCTTCCCTCTTCCTCCCATTCTCAACTGTTGGCCCATTCAAGTATACAACCACCACCTGCGAACGATTGTCCTGCTTCAACCCATCATGTCAACCCTACGATTGTCTTGATTGGAAAGTCTTTGTCTGAATGGCAAGACATGGCGTGTGCACACCACTACAACACCCGAGTTTCTTGTCACTTCCCCATCTCTTGTACAATCCTCGACCACAATCAAACGTAACAGCAGTTGCTATAGCAAGGTCTTTACGCCATTGTCTCGTACAGCGTTCACAACCTTGTTACTCTACTACAACACACGCTCTTGCACACTTCTCTGCCACGATCAAACATGACAGAAGTCGCCATTAGCAAGGTCTTTACTCTATTGTCTCAAGCTACTTGCAGCAACCTGCCTTAGAGACGATTTCGCGTGGACAGCAGACAGCCATTGTATAAAAGCAGCTTTATTTACATGTAGCAACTTGTTTCAATACATACGATTTCTTATGGATGGGATGTCATATCAGCTATCAAGTGCACCGCAATACAAGCAATCTTCACGTGGTTGAGCAGTAATGGACATGATCAAGAAAGAGATAGATCGATGGCCGGATGGAAAAGGTTGGCTATTTATTATTGGACTTGCAATGGTTATGATGGATGGAAGCGATCAAGTGCAGTGATGGGAAACCCTGGAATGTTGCTTTGGTTACTTGTCGTGTTGCCAGCAAGAACGATCACGTGGATACGGCCGAGGATGATGATGGATTGGATGGAATTGATGAGGGGGCTTCTATCTTGGGCGAAAGGTGTGGTGCAGCCATGGATGACATTGGGGGTACTTGATTCAATGTATGCAGCAGCTATTTTACAATCATGGATGAAGGATGGCTATGATGGCAGCAACCAAGAATACAATGACACAATTATCCCTGTGGACTCGATGTGATTCACCTGTAGCTTATCCAATTAGCAATGTTCTTTATCACCATTACTTGATAAACATCCACACTACCATGTGCATTCATCGACTTCTTCATTATTGATGGAAATTGGATTCAACATAGAAGGGTATCGTGCTATCAGTTCATATGAGTGAGATATCAATCACTTGATTGATTTCTGGATTGAAAGGGGAACAGGAAATTGAAGGTAGGAAAGCGAGATTGGATCATCACGTACATACATGTCATCGTATGGATCGAGATACTTTTGTTCTCTTGTCACAGCTATCTAGTTCGTGTATTGATGGATGAAAGACAGTAGCAATTCTCAAACACTTGCATCGCATCGCAAAGACAATAAATTCAGAGTGAGGGAGGGGGTGTTTGTTCTATAAGCTTGGTTCATTGTGAGTTTATTTCCTTATGTTCAGGAAAGAGTGAGCTGCGATACATATGGCACATGCTTACCTATGGCAAGCTTCACCCAAAGCTACCTTATGCAACCTTATATAAGTACGAACCATTCCACATGGCTATCATGGGCGGAACTTACTATAGAGGATGGAGCTACTTCTTCATGCATCGTTCCACCAATGGCATTGACCCTTCAGGCCCCGTCCTCTTGGTTTTGAGTTACACAAACAAGTCCTTCTGCATTTTGACTCATGTGAGTGAGGCTGTCGGCGATGAACAAAGACCACTTCTCATATAGCATCACGCTTACAACATATGTAAAACATAAAGATGTCTGTATCTTTAAACTTTACATTCAAACGTGGAGTCTTCAATAGAACAATGTTGCTCGGCGGGGTCAAAGCGATCTTGTGTCAAAGTATGAAGTTCATCGTGGCCATTCCCAGATTCACCCAATGTCGCCCCCAGCCAAAAAATAAATTGGTCGTCGTCAAGAAAAATTTCAAGAGGTCGACCCCCAGATCCACTTTGGCTGGTGGCGACAATGGCCAAATCTGGGAATGGCCACGATGAACTTCATACTTTGACACAAGATCGCTTTGACCCCGCCGAGCAACTCTGTTCCCTTAAAGACCCCACGTTTCATTGTAAAGTTTAGAGATACGGGCACCTTCATGTTTTACATATGCTGCTTGCGTGATACTATATGAAAGGTGGTCTTTGTTCATTGTCAATTAGTTAGACCTTGGCAGAGCAAAAGATGCAGAGGGACGTCTTTGTGTATCCCAGCTACCTTGCATGACTGGAAAGATGGAAGGATGATACTGTATACTGTTGACAATAGACCATGTATTGCCAGCTAACAGCCATTTCCTCTCAATCAGCGTTGTTGCAAAATCCATTGCATGTGAACGATTCTCCTGCTCCAGCCGAGCATTTCCATCATTCAAGTTTCTTGATCCGAGTTGATTTGGTTGAGTTACGGTCAAACAACATTACATCAGTTGAGCTAGATCGTGCGTGCTTCATGTACGCATTGATGTAACCCCTCTTTGACCGTAGCTTGATCAAATCAGCTCGGATCAAGATAATCCAACCATGGAAATGAATGTCTGGAGCAGGAGCATCGTTCCATTGTAATGGATTAGACAAAAGTTGGGATTGGATGGAAGTGGCTGTTAGCTCGCAATGTACGGGCTTTTGTCAACAGTATATAGTATCGTCCTTCCATCCTTCCAGTCATGCAAAGTAGCTGAGTAACCCAAAGAGGTCCCTCTGCATCTTTTGCTCTGCCAGGGTCCAGCTACTTCACAATGAACAAAGACCACTCTTCATATAGCATCACGCTTACAAACATAAAGGTGCCTGTATCTCCAAACTTTACAATGAAACGTGGGGTTTTTATTAGAGCAATGTGCTCGGCTTGGCCAACAGCACCTTGGGTGCCAGTTTCACGATCAAGCTTGCCAATCCCAGATTTCGCATTGGCACTACCAGCCAAACTGGATCTGGGGGTCGATCTCTTCGACGACGACGACCAAAAAATATTTTTTGGGCTGTTTGCGACATTGAACGTAAAACTTTCACACAAGGTGCTGTTGGCCAAGCCGAGCACATTGCTCTAATAAAAACCCCACGTTTCATTGTAAAGTTTGGAGATACAGGCACCTTTATGTTTGTAAGCGTGATGCTATATGAAGAGTGGTCTTTGTTCATTGTGAAGTAGCTGGACCCTGGCAGAGCAAAAGATGCAGAGGGACGTGTTTGTGTTACTGGGTTAAAAAGTCAGGACTTCAGGGACCATGCATGACAGGTACGCAACCCTCATTTTCAGGTCATACATTGGCAGCTAATAGCCACTTTTGTGCATTCCCAACTTTTGTGCATTCTATTGTAGGTGGACGATGCTCCTGCTCTAGACATTCATTTCCATGATTAAAGTAGGTTGATCCGAGCTGATTTGACTGAGCTGCGGTCAAAGAGAGATTACATCACTCTGGACATAAAGCACGCTCGATGTAGCTCAACCGATGTAATCTTGTGTGAGCGTAACTCAACCAAATCAGCTCGGATCAACCTACTTTAATCATGGAAATGAATGTCTAGAGCAGGGGCATCGTTCCCATGCAGTGGATCTCGCAACAATGATGATTGGATAAAAGTGGCCGTTAGCTAGCAATACATGCCTGTTCCTAGATGATCCATAAAGTAATTATACATTGACGCTTTCATTCATGCAAACGTAGCTGTGTTACACAACACGGCCCTCTGCATCTTTTGCTCTGCCAGGGTCTAGCCACTTGACAATGAACAAAGACCACTCTTCATATAGCATCACGCTTACAAACATAAAGTTGCCTGTATCTCCAAACTTTACAATGAAACGTGGGGTTTTTATTAGAGCAATGTGCTCGGCTTGGCCAACAGCACCTTGTGTGAAAGTTTCGGGTTCAATGTCGCAAACAGCCCAAAAAATATTTTTTTGGTCGTCGTCGTCGAAGAGGTCGACCCCCAGATCCGGTTTGGCTGGTAGCGACATTGCGAAATCTGGGAATGGCCACGATGAACTTCATACTTTGACACAAGATCGCTTTGACTCAGCCGAGCAGCTTGTTCTCTTAAAGACCCCACACTTCATTGTAAAGTTTTGAGATATAGCTGTCTTTATGTTTTACATATGCTGTAAGCGTGATGCTATATGAAAAGTGGTCGTTGTTCATTGTGAAGTAGCTTGACCCTGATACAGCCGGAGATGCAGAAGGACTTCTTTGTGTAACACAGCTACTTTGCATGACTGGAAGGATTGATGGATTTTACTTTATGGTCTATCCATAATAGTCCATATGGTGCACGCTATCAGCCAATTCCTCACAATCAACATTGTTGCAAAATCCATTGCATGTGAACGATTCTCCTGCTCCAGCCGAGCATTTCCATCATTCAAGTAGCTTGATCCGAGCTGATTTGACTGAGCTACGCTGGAACAGCAAACATGAAAATTAATGAATCGCAGACCCTGCGAATGTCTCCGTCTTTCAAACTGTTGGACGCTCCCATTCCAAATTTTCAAATGAAGCGTGAAGTTTTTATTAGAAAAAGTTGATCAGCTTGCGCGAGAGCACCATCCTGTCTAATTTTCTAGTTGGAGGTGAGCAACTTCGGGGCGGTGGGCTGTCCGCTCTTTTTTATTGCCCGTCATCCACCATTTCGGTCGCCCCGCATTTTAATTCTTCACAATGAAGTCTGTGGTTTTTAAATGAATAACGTTGATCAGCATGCCTCAGCGAATCTTCTGACAAAGTTTCATGTTCGAGATGGGGAATCCCAAGGTAATACGTACTATTTCGATGAATCATGAATCCGGCGCTGACATGCTTTCCGATCTCCATAGTAAATCCCACATTGTACCCTCCCATTCAAGGTTTTCAAATGAACACGAGGTCTTTTTTAACACAATATTGATCAGCATCGCCAAGTGCACCTTGTGTGAAAGTTTCAGGTTCGAAAGGGGTAATCTCAATATCAAGGATTGATGTACAGTGTTCATGCATTGATACAAGATGTGCCCGACCTCTTTAATTTCCACTTCCTTCTTCCACTCTCAACTTCTTCCCTCGTCCTCCTATTCCCAACCGTTGGCCCATTCAAGTATACAACTACCACCTGCGAACGATTGTCCTGCTTCAACCCATCATGTCAATCCTACAATTGCCCTGATCCGATTGCCTTGACAGAATGGCAAGTCCATGGCGTGTACACAGCCTTCTTGTCACTCTTCTACAACACACCCGTTTCATGACACAACACACGCTCTTGCACAATCCTCTACCACGATCAAACGTAACAGTGTTCATTGCAACGGTTACTATAAGCGATGTCTATACTCCATTGTCACAAACGGCATCCTTGACTTGCGGCAACTCGCCTTGCAGACTTTTTCACGTGAACAACGGATAGCCATCATATAGAAACAGCTTGATTTGTGTGGAGCAGCTATACGAACTCCTGTGGATATGGATATGGATATGGATATGGATATTGGTTTGGAACATGCGATGGAAGGATTTGGGTATACACAACGCGTAGAAAAGGAGCGTTTGATGTTTGGATCCATTGTGCTTGACGCTATCATCCTGAACGATTGGTGCATCCCATGCCATGGCAACCACAATCATCCTCCTTTGTGCTCCCTGTCAACCATGTACGACCAACCATCATCACCATCCAGCTACATGTTGTGACGCGCCATGCATACAATTCGCTACTACGCATCAAGTACCACTTTATGTTCATCCATTCGCCTTTGTACAATGCATGCACATACAAGGATAGAATCGTTCCAATTCAATATATCTTTCCCATCACTATACCTCACAATCTATCTCTTATGAGTGATCTTGGATTAAAAAGGTTACTTTTCAAATGCGGCATTGTGTTGGCAATCACTCATAAGTCATAAGTATACAGTGTAAGAGGCTTTCACCCTGAGTTGGGCTTCGTGCATGGCACGTGATGCGTCATATTATAGAAGGATTGGCGGTATGGCAAATGCAGGATTGTAAAAGTATATCCACTTGTAGATGTTGTGACAAAGGAAAAAGGAAAAAGAGAGGAAGAGAAATGGTCTGATTGATTCTTCAATATGGGATGGGGTTCAAGTTGAGAAAGGCCATTAAGTTTAACAGGGCGGTTTAACAGGACTGCTGGGAAATGTGAGGCTGCTAGAGAACCGTTTAAATATAACAGGATGGTTTAACAGGACTGCTGGGAAATGTGTGGTTGTAGAGAGATCCGCTAAATTTAACGGGGCAGTTAACGGGACTGCTGGGAAATGTCAGGCTGCTAGACAACCGTTAAATTTAACAGGGCGCTTAACAGGACCGCTGGGAAAATCCAGACCGATTAGTCGCTTACCTTGTACCACTCGTATGGTCGCTTGTAAGTAGTACTCATCGTCTTTGATATGCACGTTTGTATCTTTGCCCTGAAGTTCTGATAGCGATCCACAAGTAATCTCTGACAGACGTTCTCGCCATGTATACATGGCAAGGAAGTTAAATATAAGATTGATCAGCCCTATGGGACCTTCAGCTGCTGAAAAGCATGATAATAAAGGGCTGTAATTTGGGTTGAACTTTTTTGTTTTTCCTGCTTACTTCGTAAAAGCCAAACGTATGGTAACGACAATGAACCACCAAAGTTAAGAAACCCGTTGTATTACTACCATGCAGGCTGCAGTAGATGTGCCGCCCAATCCAACATTCGGGATGCATCTTGGGAGGTGGCTATGTGCCTCTTCAAGCAAAATGATTACGTTCTACCTTAGCAAAAGGGGTCAAATCACTATGGCAACAATGACAATGAAACGCCAAAGATCATTGTATGCATTGCTCAGAAAGAGGATCATCCACCACGCTACTCGCGTCAACTGGGATTTGAAGGTGTAAGTAATCAAAGAATGACACGAGAAAAGAAAAACATGTATGAGGCGACAACATCCTTGTTTATATCTGTATGGTAGGCGTGGGCATCTCTGTGATCTTAAAAAGGAGGAAGGGGGTGGATGAGCTGATAGATTGATGATGTGCCCCCACAAAGAGCCTGGCGTGATTGAATGTCTAGGCATAATTCAGGCTTTGGGATGAACAAGGTGAGGGCAATATAAATTCCACGAAACAAAATACAACGTACAGGCCATATGTAGATACTTTGGTGCCATGATTCTATTTATTGTTCACTAAATCTCAAATCTGCTTCTTCATTTAACCAATCCATCCAACGTTTCAAAAATCCACCATCTATGGTATTCTTTTTCGTGGCCTTCGCGCCGGATAAGGTCTCCGTATCGCAAATCACACAAAGATGTCGTTTTGGACGAGTCATGGCCACTAGGATATGATCGTTAGTATGAATGCTTACATCACATGCCGTGAATCAAACTTACCATTGAGACGCCTCTTTTCAGCCAAAAAGCCAACTTGCCCTTCATCATTGGATCGCACCAGTGAGAGAATGATGGCTTCTTTTTCACGCCCCTGAAATCCATCCACTGTACCAATTTCAATTGCTGGCCACTGTTCACGCATGGCTCGGATCAAATGGGTCACCTGATATGCATAAGGAGTAATGACGCCAATATGTTCTTGTTCCAATCCATCATCCAGGAGCGATTGTACATGCTTGACAGCAAGATCAACTTCAAGCTCGTTGGCTCGACTTTTTTCGCCACCATCTTGTGCTTCGTCTTCAATCTCGTGGCCGAGACCCGTATCACTTGTATCGATCAATACCACGGGCATATCCGTATCATCACTGTGGCTCACATCAGGCAAATCAGATAGCAGATGTGATGCAACGCTGTCATCAGCCACCAGCTTGTTCTCGTACAACTCCTTGGAGCTGAATTCCATGATCTTTTGATGCATACGGTATTGGACAACCAGCATACGTTTGATTGTTGCAGTATCATACATTCCAAGGAGTCGATCAAAAAGTGTCGTTGTAAGATCTGTTGCAAGCGAGAGACCATTTTTGGAAGCCTTCTTCTTGTCAGCTGATGATGCAACGGGTGTCTTGACAGTGGGAGGAAGCTGAAGATGATCACCTGCCTAAGACGTGCATTAATACAACAAGCCCCTCATCTACATGCATCCATGCTTACCAAAATGGCCTTTTTGCCTTTTAAAAGGGCGATCCAGCATTCAGCTGCAAGTAAAAGACCAATATGAGTTAGTGATCCATGCGTCTCGTTTTGTGTTACCAATGCGTACCTTCCAGAGCTTGCGTTGCCTCGTCAATAATCACCACGTCAAATTCACGCTTCATCATAGTCTTGCTCCCACACCTATATCCCAAACTTTAGCCATCCTTATCCTCACCATGGATTGTAATGACTTACCCATTGAGTGTTGATATCAATACATCAGCTCCGGTCATCACTTCATCCAACACCTTACGTTCTCGAGCACGATAGTCCTTACGAAGATCCTTGAGGTGCATGTATAATTCACGGCGCTCCGAACGCTTTTTGGTCTTGCTAATCTTGGCCAAGGTCTCATCCATTTCACGTCGTACATCAGCAACAATTTGACCGGAATCACATGTACGTGTAATGATATCAAGCGAATGCTCCAAAACAGTAGGCAGGATACGTGCTGGATGACCCACGCGTACAAGGTTCATTCGATGACGTGCCAATCTTTCCACCAAGTTGTCTATATATCATCCTTGGTTGGTGGGTTGTTATTCAACGATAGTGCTTCTTCACTTGCCTACGGATATATTGGATGGACCACATACGAGCACCTTTTTGCCTTGAACAACGGCAAGTTGCCGGATGATTTCCACCAATGTATATGTCTTGCCTGTCTACAAGCACGCTTAGTTTAACGTTGTTGGTCATAATAGTAATTGGATGATGATGATGATGATGCATTACCCCAGGCGGACCGTGCACGAGAGCAATTTCATGGGCACCAAGTGCAAAGCGTACAGCATCTTTTTGTGATTCATTGAGAGATTCATCAAAGAACTGCAAGTCCGAAACTTCTTGTGGCGGTGATGGTGGTCGTTGGCCGAGAAGTACTTGACCCAATCCATGCGAAGGTGCAGCTGATCTCAATTGCTCAAGAGCAGTAAGCATGCTATAGTTGGATAGATACATGTCAGCCTCAATGTCTTGTTCATATGCCTATTGTCACTTGCCGATCATAGGTGATATTATTCGCCAACTTGACGCTAATAAATGATGTTTCTTTAGAACACATACACGTAAGCACCATGTTTTATGACTTACATTTGACATCGTTCCTGAACCTCAGGTGGCAATTCATTATCATGTGACAATGCAACAGTGATCTTTGTATCTGTAGCTCGAACAACGACACCCGACCATTGTGATCCAAATGGTTTGCTTTTGCCGGTCTGCTTGTCCTTTTTGTATTCATCCAATCCAACAATATCTCCCGTGCTGATCTTGTGGGGCGGAAAAGTGGGTGGTGATCGTGTAGGATTGGCAAGCTCAAGGTCAACAAGACTATGAAACGAAACCCCCATGTCAATCATCGAGTGATATCCAATCCACCATCCATCCATGTGCCTTTTTACTTTTTGCCTCCAAGACCCGTTCGCATGCCTGCAAACCCACATTCATTGAATGAGCAAAATGAAGAAGCTGAATGACGCTTGAGCAAACGTTTACCTGTCACCTTGAGCCCGATTAGCGCAACACCACGCTTTTGAAGCTGAATGGGTGTGAATGACGAGAGCAATTGCAAGGTATCCTCGACATCGATCTGCTTTTCCTTCTCGACAAGCTTGACTTGGTGTTCAATAAACGCGTCCATGTAAGGGAAAGAAAGAAAGCAATTGTGCAACCATCCACTGCTACTAATCCGTCATATCACCGACAACGCATGAAGAAAGGTTTATTGGTTCTTCTTTTTCAAATCAAGGATTTCTTTCAAGTCTTCTATATCTTTTCTCATTTCGCCTGTAGCAATCTTTTGTTTCTCGATTGTTTCTCGAAGCATGTTGAGTTTTTGTTGATCCTGTAAAACGAGTGAACATTTGAAGAGGACAATTAGTAATAAAGTAGAACTTACATTGATACGAGCCCATTGACCTTCTATAGCTCTTTCTTTTTCACCCCAGTCTCGTGAACTAGCAGTGGCACCCGCACCACCATTACTACTACCTCCAAATGGACCATCCGAGTAAAAGCGACGAGTCGTCAAGTTAGAGAATAAAGGTCGATTGATGATAATGCTTCTTGTAATACGTTGCATTGAATGTGGTGGTTTGCTTGTGGGGGAAAAGAAAAGAGAGAAGAGTGGTGATCAAACTTTTGATGCAGCTTTGCATAAACAAATGGTAACCAACCAACCAGCCATCTCGGGTGTATCGGATGCTTGTTGGCCCCTTCTCAGGTGTCTTTTTTCTCTCCCCCCCCCACCCTCCGTAACTGTTTTGAGATCCCCGTTTCTCTTTCTTTCCTCTCTTACTTCGCTCATGCAACCGATCGATAAACGATTGAGTGTCTTTACTCCCACCGTCATTCGGGAATTGACTCATAAAAAGTACGACCGTCGTAAAGTAGCTGCTCTTGAAGTCGAAAGGTAACAACAAACATGCTTTCTCTCTCTCTCTCTCTCTCAAATACGTTTATTTTTTCCTCACGCGTCGTCATCATTATCATCATCTTAGTCTGGTGAAAGCTAGCAAAGACCATCCTGCTCAAGTATCTCGGATCATTGATGAGTTGGTGCGGGATTTTGTGTATTCGCATATGCCCAACGCCCAATGCGGCGGTTTGATCAGCCTCGCAGCGACAGCCATTGCCCTGGGATCTGCAAGTATAATAATCCATTCTTTAAACGATTCTATTGGGAAGAGGACTAATGATCATTTGCAGGATGTGGCGCCCTATCTAGATACGGTGGTGCCACCCATTCTCGATAGCATGGGCAGAAAGGAGTCGTCGGTGCGCTACTACGCATGCGAGTGCATGTACAACGTTGCCAAGGTTTCCAAAGGCGAATTGCTCCGCTTTTTTAACAGCGTGTTCGAAGCACAGTGCAAGGTAAAAGAGAAAATGGATACATGCAGGTGATAGTAATATCCATATCTACGATGTAGCTATCCACCAACAAGGAACCTTCTATCAAGAATGGTCGTGACATTTTGGATCGATTGATCAAGGAGATCGCTTTTGAATTGGCAGGCACCTACACCACCACCCATGGTATTCCAAGAGGCGTTCCAGTCAAGGCCTTTTCAGTCCAGAAATTCATACCTTATTTACGGCGTCGTATTTACAGCCATCATCCTGCTGAACGGCTTTATGTCATGTCATGGATTGGTTTATTGGATTCAATTCCCGAGTTTAACCTCGTTTGGTACTTGCCTGAATACATGGATGGTCTTATTCGCGTACTCGGTGATCCCAATCAGCCCGTACGTGCAAACGCTCGGTTATTATTGGCACGCTTTTTTCAACAAATACAAACCATGGTCCATCAACAACAATCGGATGAAGGTGTAGCCCTTTTACGGCGACATGGAGGAGAGCAACAACAACAACAATCATCATCATCATCATCACCTCAATGGGACAAGGAGAAGGATGCACGCATGATTGAAATTTTGATTCCACACTTGTCTTCACCCAAAGAAGATATCCAACGTACCGCGCTACAATGGATCATTGAATTTATTACCATTGCCAAGGATGTGGTACTGCAATTTACACCTCGTATCATCATTGCTGTTTTGCCATCACTCGAACATCCGGTGCCTACCATAAGCGCGTTTGCCATTGAAACCAATCGCAATTTGCAAAAGCTTGTCATGGAGAACAAACCACCTGAACCTGTCAACAGCAAAAGCGATCCATCCTCATTGGATCACCATTTTCCCACCACGCGACAAGAAAAAGAAGAGACCAGTAGCCATGGCAACACGCTCGTACCCACCTTGCGTCGTACGCATCGATCTGACATTGGGCATCAATTGACCAAACGTTCTGAACCTGCGCCAGGAGACATGTTTGATTACCAGCTGACGGTCATCAATTTACGATTGCAATTTCACAGCGACCATGCATTAACACGGATCGAAAGCTTGAGGTGGTTAATGCTTTTACATACCAAGGCGAGAGAAAAGGTAAATACAAATGGGGGTGGGTGTCAAGCAACAGCAACTCATCATCATCTCACATGATCATTTTGTCTTGGGGGACAAGATCTTGAGTACCATGGATAGCACATTTCCAATGCTTCTCAAGCTGCTTAGTGATCCGTCTGAAGAGGTATATACAGTCTCACGTTTGAGCTTGCTCCAAAACATCGATTCTCATCTCATTAGGTTGTATTGTTGACCCTCGAGTTGATTGCTCAAGTAGCCGAACAAGGTGGTGACAAGGAGTTTGACAAGCTTACAAAGCATTTATTATCACTTTTTGCTATTGACGGTGACTTGTTGGAAACGCGAGGTGACTCCATCATACGTGAACTCTGTGTGCACCTTGGTCCGGAACAGGTGTTTTGTACCATGGCAAGGATACTGGAGCAAGACAAGGTAACCTTGTTTGTGGGATTGAAGGATGGGGCGAATACGCATCAACAGCGGATATTCTTTTTTCTTTGTAGGATTTGGACTTTGCAAACATGATGGTACAAAATCTCAACATCATCCTCATCACATCCGAGGAATTGGATGATATACGTAAGCAATTGAGAGAATTGGATACCAAGGTAACTTTAAAGAGGAGGAGGAGGAGGAGGAGGAGGTAGACATATGACACACACGGGGCAGTGAAGAACATTGACGAGAATAAATAATAGGAAGGACAACATCTCTTTCTCACGCTTTATCGATCATGGTGCCATAATGCTATTTCGGCATTCTCGCTTACATTGATGGCAGAAGCTTACGACCATGCTGCCAACATGCTTCAATTCTTGTAAGTTTGTCTTAAGGAACATCATGATGGGCGATGACACTCACACTCTAGGATACGCTACTAGTGCCGATATTGAGATGACAGTGACGATGCTTATACAATTGGATCAACTTGTTCAATTACTCGAATCGCCCGTATTTACATGTAATATTGCATGATACAATGACAACGTGCGTGTGGAAAGCTAATTAAGAGGTGGAAACAGATCTTCGATTACAGCTTTTGGAACCCAACAAGTATCCACAACTCCTCAAATGCCTTTATGGTATATTCATGCTCTTACCACAATCATCATCACTCAGCCCGTTACGGAGCCGTCTTAACAGTGCTTCATCCTTGGGTTTCATGCATGCAATGCCAAAAACGTATGTATCCATATACCAAGGCCTATGATACGATACATGTGACTCATTGTGTTTTCAGTAATACGACCTTGGCTGCTACTACTACTACTACCAGTCGATCCATACCCACCATGAATGGTGCTTCTCATCCTTCCAAAAAGACACCGGCCATCGATTTCGCAGACTTAATGCAACATCTAAAGACTTTACAATTCAAGCATGAAGCGTACAGAAACCAATGTAAGGAGCAGCGAGAAACAAATTGAAGACACCCTGACATCCACACATAAACCTGCATTCATCCGACGCTGTAACTCGACCGGCAAGGTAAGAGGGAGCAGCGTGTACACTTGCAAAATCTGTTATTGTATATAGCCAACACAATCCACCTTTGTATACCAAAATTAATGCAGATACCCAAAGCACAATTTATGTATTTGATAAAGAATAATGGGGGGCATTGTAAATGTATCACGTGTTGTTGTTGTAGTGGTCATAATCTACTTTGTGCCTGCTTGGATGAGTTGTCGTCAGGGGACGTTTGACTTGCCGATGAAAACCTTTGGTGGGGGCCGTGGAGCTTGAAAAGCATACACGAGGGTACATAGTCCATTTCAGCATTATCTCGTTACCACCACCTGTCAGCCACTCTCTCCCCACCATGTCCTCATCAAGCAAAAAGCCATCGGAAGCCGAGATTACCCAACAAGCAAGTTGTCATTGACACTATACGCATGGAGACCTTGACTAACGCTTGCATCCACAGTATAACAAGTACAAGAATGAATTGCAACAGCTGGCACAAAAGGTCGGCGAGTTGGAATCCGAGGTCGAAGAACACAAGTAAACATCGACGCGTCGTCATGCCACCGATGCTCTTTATTCAACTAATACGCCATCTATCTAGGCTTGTGATTGACAGCATCTCGCCACTCGAACCTGATCGCAAGTGTTTCCGTATGGTGGGTGGTGTTCTAGTTGAGCGCACTGTCAAGGAAGTCCTCCCAGCTCTACAAACAAACTACAATGGCGTATGTGTTTCCTCCACCTCCTTCTTTCCTCCCCTCAACTTGCTTTTAGCATACTAAAGTCTTTTATGTATAGATTCAACAAGTCATCCAATCATTATTGCAATCCTACAAACGCAAGGAACAAGAATTTCAAGAATTCCAAAAGAAGCACAATATCCAAATGGTCACCAAATAGTCAAGCAGTTGTTTAATAATAAAACCGGGAATCCGTATGCAAAGGTGGATCTTGAATATATAGATGTAATGGGTTGGATCGATAGAGAGAGAGAGAGAGAGGGCTATTTCTCGGCATCCGAAACGACTTGACCAAGACCGATCAAACACCAAAACGAATAGCTCTTGATCCGATCATCATCTAATCGCATTGACGAGTTGGCTTTCCGAGATCCACCATCCGTACTATCATCCACATCCATATCCTCGATATCCTCCTCATCAATATCACCTGATGATGCATCCATGCGGTCTTGTCCTGATCGGTAATTGTAGGTCACAAGCAATGGAAACTACATAAAAGAAAAGTGCATGAATAAACCTGTGTGAGTATATAAAGCTTGTTTTATCTTACCTTGAATTCGCCCGCTTCTTCAGGGATCACTTCCACAATGATGCTGGTATAATTATTCTTCTTTTCATGCACACCATCTGCCCAAGACGATGACAAACCAGCCGAGAATCCAGAACGGCTACGGCTACTGGGACCCGTAGGGTATATCTCATCGTCATACTCCATCATTTCATTGAATGCACCAACCTTGAAATGAGGCGAGAGGATCGTTACCTTGCCACCCACCTTGGGTTCATCAGGTGTTGTTGTCTCTTGTTCTTCCTCAGCCGTTGCACCAAGACCCATGGCAGGCTTTTTATGTTGTTGTGGCGTTGCCAGCGTAACACTCATTTCTTCATAGAGTGGATTGGTGAACTTTAGCACAAATTGAGTAGGAATGCCGACGTGTAATGGCCATGTCTTGCGAGGTAGTTTCACAATGGTGATATTGGGGATGTAATTCCTATATATGATGCAATTAGGCTATCGGCCGATTAAAATGGTAGCATGGGTAACTTACATGGCAACCAACTTGATTTTGAATCGAGTGATTTGGGCCTTTTGTTCTGGACGAATAAGGATGTGTCTGCATGTCCTGCAACGCTTGGATCGTTTGATGCTAAGATGAATACGTTGTGGATGGATATCCCTATGATCTCCATGATCAGCCGTTTTGTCATTTCCAAATCATGGATACCTTACTTGCGTAGATAAGGTTGATTATGGAGTTGGCTTGAACGTTGTCGCAAAGTGGAGACTACACACACACAAAAATCCATCAATTCTCTCAACAACCCATGGTAACCCCCTCTTTTCCTCAAAGCTTACTCTCATCCACATTGCGAAGCGTCATGAGCTTATCCACGAGTTTGAGATCATCATCCGGTACTTGAACGCTTGGCTCATACGTGTCGATATCATCAAGTTTGCACTGAGCTTGCGAATGCGGATTTGACATTGTTCCCATCAATTTGCTGAAAGCGCCAGGACTGGAGAGTGATAACAAGCTGGGCGGAAGTGGTGGTGGTGGATTGAGTCGCAAATGCTTTTCAAAGTGTTCTTTGAGATGGTCGAATTCCTTGGCATCTGGTAATGCTTCCTCTGTCTTTTGTAGTTGTACTAATATCATACATATCAATTTGATCATCCTTTTGTGTACCATCCCGCATCATGAAACTTACATGCCAAACTGGTAGGTTTTTCAAATGTCATGTTGACTTCTTTAGAATTCCACCGACACACATTGCAAAAGAGGAAATAGGGACCGGCAGTGGCAGGTGTACTGGAGGGTGTTGGTTCTTGGGCAGCAACGACGGATAGCGTGTTTTGGCATATGGGACATTGGAAGCAGTTACGTGCACATCTAAAAGATCCCTCTCATGTTAGTAGCCTATCCCATACATCATGATCCAATCCTTCCTTACCTATTCTTTTCACTCTTGACGCTCGCTGTGGGTACCTTGTATTATCGATAAGTAAAAGATGGGACATAGAGATGGGCTGATGATTGATAGAGTATACCTCGAATAAGCAGTTGGGGCAGTAATATGACATTATTTCGTCTTGGACACACGAAGGACAGCGGATTTGGTGGCAATCTTCGCAAAAGTACAATCTCGAAAGTGGGTATAGATAGTTGGATGCTTTACGCGAGAGCAAATGATAGCCCGTGGTCGATGCATCGATATTATGCTCCTTGTGATGGTTGCTACTGGTGCTGGTGCTTGCGCTACTGGGGCCGATACTCTTGGCATCGTCAACGCCTTCCTTTTTCAAACCGACATCAGGCGACCTTTGTGGATCAGTGGGTTGCGGCGTGGTAGTGAGATCGGGACATGCACAATAGTAATGGACAAAGGGTATGATTTCTCCAGCAGCACCAGCAGTTGTCATATTCGGTCAAAGAACAAAGATCGTTGTGGTCGTTGGCAAGGTACAACAAAGGCACGCGGAGCATCAACTTCATGCTGGTTGGTACCTTTGGCGCCGCATAGCTAGAAATTCGCCCATGCACGTACTCTAGTACACAATCCTTGCTCAATAAAACATGTCCTGGTTTACACATCTTCAAGAAGGAGGAGGAGGAGGAGGAGGTTCCCAAACAAAAATGACGTCGTGTGAATAATATGCACATGGCTTGTTTCCCAGATGAAGAAAGACCACCACCCACCAACATCATGACGTAAAAAGGGAAGATCGATGTTGTTACAGATTAATAGAATACTACCATCCACATCAAGCAGGCCGAGGAGGTTGTTGATGAACGCCATGATGGTATGCTGCTGTATGAGGAAAGTGGTGATATCATAAAGGGCCGACCCAAGAAGATCTCGATTAAATTGACAGCAGCAGCAAGGCAATGTTAGTTATGAAACATCAGTGACATTAGACATATCATTGCTGGTGCAACGATAACGGATGCATGGAAGAAAAGGCAAGATCATCAGCAACGAAGCACTCGTCGTCGTCATCATCTGCATGTCGCACGGTGGTTCGAGACTCTTCAAGAAGATCTCGATGCACTTTGTATTGCTCTAGCAAAGCCATTGTACGTCCGATCCATATTCTTTGTCTCCTTTTGTTAGTGCATACGTAATTCATCAACGGATGTCAATTGACAACAAGTTCAGCCCCACCTCCCCCACACTCCTTTGTTGCACAGCCAATTTCTTCTCCTCCTTATGATGATGATGATGATGTTATCCACCCCATTTGAATAAAAATGCGACATGGATGATTGACGCCCATCATAAATGATAACGTGTATCGTTGTATTCATGATTCAAGTGTGCAAATGGAAAGAGTGTAAAGTGGAAAGATGGCAGGCAAGCACGCACGCACGACCCAATTGTTACAAAGATAGCAGCACATGGCTTCATGCAGCTTGACGTAAACTTGCTCGCTGGTTACGAATCTGGGGATAACTTTTTGGAGCACAGCCCATCAACTTCTTTTCGCCTCCCTTTCTACTATCGACGCCCAAAGAGACTCTCTCTCTGTCCCCCAAAACAAGATCAACTCCTACATGTCATCTATAGCAATCCTAACTGCATCACTTGGGCGTCTGTGTGTGTGTGTGTGTGTGTGTTTGTGTATCTATCAAAGTTTTCTTCATTTTGTTGCAGTATCATTGGTGGTCGTAGAACCGATTGGGTATTACAAGATCAGCCTTTGTTTGATTTGCCACAATTTTCATTGTTCTTTTTGTTGAAGGTTGAAAGGGCAAATCAATGTGAAACATGTAACCATAGAGTATAATGAAATGATGGCGGATGTCAGCAAGTACACTTGTTTCAGCGTCAAAATAAACATGCATATCCTTTAAAATGATTTTCCTTGGTAATAGCGTTTCATTATGTCAATGATGGGGTGTGTCTGGACCGAGCGTTGTCTGTGCTAAACCATCCTTTATCTTGCAGACCGCCCTTTTCTGGGTTGTACCAAATAACGGTATCACCAGCTGAATTCTACGTATGCAATTGAGATGCAGCATCATCCCACACACTACTAGTATTACCATGCACGTCGCTTACAAAGCAGTGGTGGTTGTTGCTTGCTGATGATGAAAGAAGAAAATAACAGGTGATGACATGTAAACACCGCATGTCCTTTTTCATTATACCCATTCTCGATGGATTTGGGGAGATGTAATGCACGTCCGGCTCCGAATGGGTCAATAAGTGTGCTTTCAATGAGCGTGCTTAAGCTTTTCACGCAACACATGTCTCGATCACCTCCCCCAAAAATCCCCCACAACACATACGCACGTACGCACACACATTACAGTGGTACACATTGCTGCTGCTGCTGCCGGTGAACAACAACAACAACACCATCATCATGGTTGTTGTTGTGTATATGCACGCACATCACATGCACCATCACACACGCACTTTGAAAGGTTGGCCTTTCATTGTCAAAAGTTGATACACAAACATTATGCAGAGCAAAGCAACGTCACGGCTTGATTTGCGACAATCCAGGGTGAACAAGTAATGCTCTTCTCCTCCTCCTTTGTTTTATTGACAGCAGCAGCAACAGCAGAGTAAGGAGCCGGTTATGGAAACCGAGCAATGATGGTAATACATGACGCGATGATAGGTGTTAAGGTGGTTTTCATTTTGCATGCAGCAGTACAAAAAAAAGGGCTAAAGGGATGATCAAGAGAGTGAGAGAGAAAATGAGCCAAACAAGGTTGGCTGTGAGAGTGCTTTGATCATTTGGACACAAGTTGGTTTGTGTAACCAAGGTGCGTGCTGTGCGTTTGCTATACAAATATGGATACGCGTGTTCTTCCCGAAAGCAAACAAATGATCCAGGGGGAGCCCAATGTTCTTCATTTCGATCCACAACACCACGACTTTTGAAAAATGCTTTGGTTTTGTTATCAAAAAGAGAGTAAGCTTGATTGATTGTAGAGTACTGTAACGAACAACGTGTTATTCAAAGAAAAGAGAAAAGGGATTCAAGGTGAAGAATGAGAGCGTGTTTTGTGATTGTGTGCTGCAGTGCGCCCAATGCGCTTCGTTCCATGCTACCATCAGGCTCGTGTATAGAAGGTGGATAACTTGAAAGGTGTGTGTGTGTGCGTGTGTGTGGGTTGGGTGATGCATGACGCATGCACATGTGTCTCGCTTACGATAGGCATATCAGTGTTAGTAGTAGTAATCTCCTCCTCCACTTTCCCACTCCCTAAGAATCTGGAACATTGGCTCATTGCTGTACATCATCCATGATATCGCAAGAATATGCCAACTTTGTGTTGTGGGCACATCAGCAACATGGCTGATCTTTCTTGTTGATCATCATCAGGTGGAGGATCAATGATCTACTTTAGAAAAAAAAGATGATCCTTTGTGGAGGATTAACAGTGATACGAGCGTGTGTGTGTGTGTGTGTGCCGTGTATTGGGATGATGCATGTCAAACACATCAACTCTAAAATCCTCCCCATATCATCACCAGCTCCTTCTTTGTGGTCCGTCTTTCATGCATCATCTCTTTCTCCCCCATCTTTTTGTGTGTGTTGCACCCCCAATCTCCTTTTTTCGTCCCTGTGTTGATGACTCCCCCAACTCTTTCGCATATACAAATTAAGCCAGCCCATCCGATTTGATGCAAGTGAGGATTTTCCATACGTAGGTTGCCTCCCGACATATATAAAAAGGGCACCAAGATGATCCTTGCCACATTACTATTCTGCATTACTTTCTTTTTCAAAAGCTCATTTTTGTCTGTGCTCCTTTTTTCTTTCACACAATCATCACACACATGTGTAGCAAGCGGTATACACCATTTAAGCTCGCCCCACCCATACATCAAGCGCTTGTCATTGCTGAAAAGCAAATTGACCAAAAGGTGTGGTTCACTGTACGGGTCATTCCTCAACAAACCGATATTCGTTATGTGAATGGAGTCCCTGTGGGCATCAAGGCTGTTGCTCGTCAGCCGTATTCGATTGCTCGTCGATACGAAGACTTTGTTCAACTCTCACAACGATTGCATGAAGCATTTCCACCACTCACTACCACTACCAACAACCACTCACGTCGCCATCAAGGTGGGCCAAGCATTCCCAAATTGAGCAGCCATAGCAGTAGCAAGCGTATCCACTTGTTGCACAATCAAGCCAAGCGACAATTACAACGACGTACCGATCTTGAAAAGTTTTTGTATCAGCTATTTCGCTTGCCAGCATCCATTGCTCAATCATTACCGGTGCTTGAATTTTTTGGACAGCAGTCGCATGACCGCCGTAGCAGCAAGGTGCAGCTTTGTTCCGTAATGACCGATCCGATGCCGACATTGGATTCATCTCCTTCAACATGGCAACGCTTACGCGCACGAGCAACATCATCATCCAATAACCAACAAATGACATCCAGCCAAAGCTGCACCACCATCTCAACTTTTAAAAAGAAAAGAAAACCCAGCACAACAACAACATCATCAGCATCAGCTGCAGCCTTCCCCTACTTATCATCATCACCCTCCATGATGACGACGACAACAACAACAACGCCATCGTCAACATCACCCCCATCATCTGCTTATAGCCCCTGTCCACAACCTAGCCTATCAACAGCCACCACCATTTCATCCATTGCCAGCATGATCATGCCATCCTTTTCAACCCCACGTCGCATTGGTAGTAGTAGCACCATTAGCCGATCCTCCACTACCAGCAGCCGTGATAGTGTTAGTACGTGTGACAGCAACAACAGCAGTACGACGACTCCAACACCGCCTGGTAGCCCTATTTCCACCTCCTCTTGTGTGTCATGCACCATCAAGATCAAGGTCATTTACGATGTCGACAATATTATCGTCATCCAAGTACCACGCACCGTATCCATGGCCGATTTGCGATCACGTATTATGCTCAAATTCTCGCTCGATCCTGCAACACGTTTACCTACCAGTGACTTTTGCTTACTGTACAATGATGCACGATCCTCGGGTACGAGTGCCGCCTCATGTTTTTCCGCTCGCAGTGATAGAATGACCATTATTGCTGATGACAAGGATCTCCGAGCTGCCATGGATAAACTTTGGAGCCAGCATGAAAAGGTCACCCTTCGCTGCATTGCTAAAAATAACCCCACCACAAGGCGACGCCCATCTCTTTTGTAAATAATTCTCTCTCTCTTTCTTTCCTTTTTGAACCCCTCTGTAGTATTGTATACCCCAACACATTCCCTTGTTCATATGTATTTATTGTATATTGGATCATCCAACAAATAATGTAATCCTTCTCCTCTATGAGAAACACCTCAAACTTTTTTTGTTGTGTGTATTATTATGAATCGCATAGCCAATGTAGGGGGTGATGGGGTGTTTATCCGACAGGTCCTTCATCATGAGGGAGTAAAAGAGAGGGCTGAGGAACCGGTTGGGATGTATGTCGCGTTACACATTGCATGGTGGTCGTCGGCATAAAGCTGTCAGGTTTCTCGGATTCATCCACGGTGCTTGATATGAATTTGGAAAGAGCACCAGGGCAGCTTCAGCCCATACGCACATACAAAAACTAACGCCACCCTCAGGGAGAGCCACTCGAGCCATATTTCATTTCCCATCGTTTCATTTCAACAAGAGAGTTAAGCTTGACAAGAGAAAAAGGAAAGAGCTTTATTACTATTGACGCTTTGGATTAAAATGGGTCACTTGATGGTATCCAGGCATGGATCGGCTCCATTTTGTGCACTTGATTTGATGTCTTTTATGCATTCACTACATCGTCAATTTCCTAATTTCCTAAAAAAAGAGAGTACCATCCTGATCAACCACCCTACTATAGACACCTGACAACTTCTCCCCCACATCACCAACCCCATCCGTGCATCAGGATAACACCAATCCGCATGTTAGATCCTAATTATACATACCTGCGTGTTGACTAATGATGATGGGATGATGATGACCTTGACTTTCTGGTCAGGGTCCAACCCTATTGGAGGAGGACGAGGAGGTCAACATTCCTCCTTTACATAATAGCACCATCAACAACGAATGCAACATCTTGCATACATACATTTACATGTATACGTGCAAAACTCACCATGCTCCTTGCAACATCATACACGTTTTGATGCACTCTTTAGCATATCCAAACGCATCTTGCAGCTACAAGGAGTAAAAAAAAGAAGAGGCCGTTTGCAGCATGATGCAATGGCATCATTTGGCGAGCGACAAAGTGTAGGATGATGATAGTAGTAGCGTGTTGAGCGCACACACACACACACACACGCACATACACACATATTCTGCACACGAGATGATCGTCATCACCACGCGATTTTTTGTCTGCATTATGATTGTGTGTGTAATATACCTTGTTGGGATGAATTTCCATGACCAAAAGGAGAAGTGTTTTTATCTGGCTGGTGGCATCTCCTACATACCACACCACCACAGTATTCTTTTCTTATCTAACGACATGTACATGGATCGATCCCATGCGAGGAGGTCCATGCGAGTTGAACATACGTATACGACAAATGCTTTTGCGAATGCCTTTATTGTAATAACGCCACCCTTTAAGGAGGAAACAGGTTAAAAGGAGAAATTGGGGGTGGAGGGGGGGTTAAAGAGACAACAATGGCAAATTCATTTTTCTCATTGTCCTGAAAGATACGTTGACGCCGATCTAAGTACGCGTGCAGCAATGCTTACGGAGGAGAGAGAGAGGATTCAAGGGGGGACAAACACTTGCTTATGTGTGGATATGAAATCGTGTGTTTATATAATTTGTACATTGAGTGTGTTGAAACGGTTTATGGTACAAGAAAAAAAAGACAAGCAAAAGGGCAATTGATATGGATGAGATTTAAGAATACGAGTCGGCGCGAAGGAGATCTGTATAGCCGGGTTGAACCAAATGAAAAGAGAGTTTAGAACTCGGGGAGAGGTTCACGCTCGCCAACCTTGGGGAAAGTAGGGCCAACTTGCTTGATGCAAAGACTTGCAAGATAGTGACCAGCCTTGACACAACGAGCGACATCATGAATACCTTGAGCATACAAGCCCATGAAACCACCACAGAATGCATCACCAGCACCGTTGGTATCGACAATATCCTTATCCTCAACCTTGTGGACAGGGAAGACTTGCACGTTATCACCAGTAGCAACGACGGTCTCATCAGCACCCTGAGTAATGACAACAGTGCGAGGGTTGTTGTTGCCCTTGGGCAATTGAGAAAGCTTCTTGGCAATTTCCTTGACATCGGTGGTACCCCAGCCAGCGACTTCAGAGTAAGTACGAGCCTCAGTCTCATTACCAAAGACGATATCAGCGTTGTTAAGAACGGCATCCAAACGCTCCTTGAAGAATTGGGCAAGGAAAGGAGCACTCAAGTTCAAAGCAAAAGGCTTGTTGTTCTCAGCAGCGTACTTGGAAAGCTTGATAGCAGAGTTGTAGCCACCATCGTGAGTGATGAAGAAACCACCAACAAAGTAATACTTTGCGTTCTCAACAATCGACCAGTTCTCGGGCTTTTCAATAAACTCAAGAGTGAACTTTTCAGCAGCAGCAAGGTTGGTGCAAAGCGAACTATATAAGCACTTGATAAGATCATCTCATCCTCTTGACCCTTCCCCCCATAATATAGACACCTTACCGGTTGTGACCAGTGATCAATGCAGCACAGAGACCGGTAGGAACCTCCTCGTTGATTTGGTAGATGGTACGCAAGCCATCAGCAGCAGCAGCATCCTTGAGAGTATCGGCATACTTGTCATTGGAAACGCAACCAAAGTACACAGTCGAGTTGGCAGGCAAAAGGTATTGAGCACCACGAGCAGTGTTTTGAGCAGCACCACCAGCAACGTAGACGACATTGTACTTTTCAACAATCTCTTCGTAGCTATACAATGCTCAACATGAGTCTCATCGATGAGGGCAATGAGAGGGGGAGGGGGAGACGTTACAACTTACATGGGCATGTGCTTGGTGTCAGCCAAGATGGCATCGTTGGCCTTGAGCTCGTACTTTTGAAGAAGCTCCTCAGCATTGTTAACCTGGATGTCCAGGAGAGGGTTTTCCATAACAACAAGTTGGTAGCTCATAGTGTGTAATCGATAAAGAAGTGGATGAAAAAGAGAACGTGTCCAGTAAAAAAATTTCTGCGTTTGTTTTATCGTGTTCGGCCAGGCACATCTCACCACTCATTGGACGATGTCCGTTGTCTTGGATCTAGTGTAGCATAACGCACCTTGGGGTGCCATCTGATTGCTCAGCGCTTGGTCTCTTGCATCATCATCCATGCTTTATAGTATACAAGCCCCCTCCCACAAGATGTCTTGCCCAAAGTCAGATAGTTTCATCAATGTGCTGCTTACAACAATGAGCTACTCAAATGAATATACCACATACATTCACCATGAAACGTGTAACAGCAGGATACAGGTAGCGGCTATTTTTTATGATGGTCATGTCCACATAAGCTTTACAAGAGATAGGTATGCTTGATGTCATTGTTTGGTGGTGATGGATTGCCCTAATTTGATCGTGTCCATGCCAATTACCATTTATATTATTATGCATGAACAACAATCAATCATACTTGGGCTCTTGGAAAATAAGGTCTTCGTATTTTGGTGACTGTAGATGGGAGCTGGTCATTGTGATCATCCATAGGCTTCCTTTCTTTGTTGTTCTACTTTCATTGTCGTCATGGTAATGGTCGTCATGGTGAATGCTTGAGTAAAACATGGTCATATACTAATACGACCATCAGTATCAAATCAATGAAAAAAGCACATCATCATGGATAATGACTATAACATTAACAATGCCCACATGTATTTGTTTCTGAGGAGCAACAATGAGGGCTGTTTTGTTATCGCCAGTGTTAGCAGGAGCGATATCAGTAATACCACTGTCACTATAGACACTTTTGCTGCGGAGTGAAGGTTGCTAGGGAAAGGCTATTGTGCTATCGAATGATGGTGGTTAACATACACATGAGCATGCTATGCATATGCAAAGGTTGGATTCGGCGACATGGTCCGTTACATCAGTGGAATAAGTGACCATGGCAACCATCTTTTTACGGCATGACAACGGCCACACATATTAGCAGGACGCGTGATTGGGTGGTTTCTGATAATAAATTTTATGTCGTCGATGATACATGCTACTTGAAAATCATGCACAGATCCCATATTGCCACTGCAATGGGGAGGGGGTGAGTGTGAATGTCTTTTCTCTCTATCAGGTTGATGCAGGACATCGATACTCGAGAATTCCTTAATTCCAGCGCTTCTGACCTTGTTGCTTGATGTTTAATTGCGCACATGATGATCTATGTTGCAATGATGCATTATGTAAATGTGAGATTAAGGCCTTGTTCTTCGTGAATGCTTTTGATCCAATAAGCTAGGGAAGCAACAAGATGGATTGATCCAGAATGACGGGAGTTGAACTCATTACCCCAGGGAGGAGGAGGGCACCCAAAGTGGCCCATGGCCACCCGTATCATTGAACACATGTACGACCGAGCTCTGATTCTATGGTTGGACCTTGTCATCCCTTGACAATGTCGTACAGACTGACATATGAAATCCCACTTTACCAACATGGACTTTTCTCCCTCTCACCTCCTTGATCAACAACAAAACGAGTGCTAACATGCTGATCACTTTTCCCTGTGCCAAACACGAAAAGGGCCTTTTATTACTTTGTGGCAGCGCGTCGCACAGGGCGGCTTTCGAAAAATCTGTGTACTCGGGATAGGCAAGAAACCTATTATACTACAACCACTACTACCATCATCATGATCCCGCTGGATCAATAATAGCCGTCGTGGTGTTTTATGCGTGTGGGTGTATGCCCCTTTGAAAGAGAAAAGCCGATGATAATGGCAAAGCACGTACACGCGTGTGACATTTGACAGCCATCACAAATTTTCCCAAAGGATGACAATGCGGAAGTAAATTGTTTGGGAAGATCGATGACTTGTACCTCCGCGCTAATTCAACAAAAAAAACATGCTTACCATACATTGACGACGACGACGACAAGGCACACAAAATAGACGAGAGTCGCCTTTTTCTTTTCCCCATTGATTTACCTCTTTCTTTTTCCTTACTTGCTGCTGCTCGGGCCCCTTGTCACTTTTGTCGCTCCAATAGCTCAACATTCGACATGGAAGATAGCGCCGAATTGAGCGTGCGAACATTGGAACGTCACTGCCTAGTTGATGGCACCTGTCACTGCGATTGGCGTATCACACTTCAAGGCTGTGTCGAGCAAAATGCAATGACAGGCGTTTATATCGGCAACATCGCTATCTCGGCTGTAGTGTTCATCATTGGTATGCATACCTTGTCAACAAAGAACAATGAGCACGATAGTAACTTTTGCTCGCTCGATAGGTGTTTGTCTCCTGATCCATCGCATCTTTATCAAGGGACATCGACTTTTTGATGTTAGCCCAGCAAAAGGTTGCTTACGACCCAAACCAATCGATTGTATGTTATTCTTATTAATGATATACAACATTCGTAAGTAAATTCTTCCCATTCCTTTATTTCTTGCCCAAAGGATCATCTCCCTTTCTTCCCCGACTCCGCACGATGGTATGCCCAGAAAGCCGGTTTAACAATAGTCTATCTCCTCCTTATAGTTCGCTTGTTGACAAGCGTTATTCTTGTCACGGATGTTGCTGATGACATGATTTCACGCATGTGTAAGTGTCTTTCTCTTTTCCAAAAAGAAAGCATCGCACACAACGTAGAGCTAAATGCATGTGTACCTAGTTATTTTTGAGTTTCCATGGCAATTTGGTTATGGTGCATTTGCACTTTACCTTGTCGGGATTGCACAAACATTGGCTGATGTAAGCTTACTATTTGCTGTTGTCTCAATGTTTTCTTTTAAACTTACCATTTCACTCTACTACTACCACTACTAGAGCCACAAGGCGATTTCTCATGGATGGTTACCATCACCAAGGACGGTGGATATTATTGGATTGACTTTTTTCTTTGCACCCTTCATTTGTAACAACATTGTGGCGTTGGTTGGTGGCGCGCTGGCACGCACCAACTTGTACGCATCCGAAGTGTGTGTGCGATTGTTGTATGTATTTTGGTTTGTCCATTGTTTTTCACTTGCCATGGCGGTGCTCTTCTCTGGAATTCGCTTGGTCCGCATCCTTAATCATCATTTGACGAAATTCAAGTCATCGGGGCCACGCTATGCATCTGTCAAAACGGGTATCTTTAAGGTACAAAACGTGCTACATCATTGTTGTTGTTGTACTCATCATTCGGTATTATATAGATACGTGCGGTGATGGGTATCATTGTTGTATGTTTACTCTTGTTTGCTATCTTTTTGCTCCTATATGGAGCTCTTCGTGATCAGATCATGGTGAACGTACCAGGATCCATTTTCCTTGGTGTCATTTGGAATTATCTCGGTCCTGTCACCACGCTGTGCGTGGAATTGGCGGTCATTTTCCAGTAAGTCTTGATCATCATGAACGCACACTAAACCGATGATGCTGATTAAGGGTGGGTGGTGTTTAGTCCAAAGATTGGTACCAGTGGTGTGGATGGATTGAAAAGTTCGACAGGTGGACGATCCACCACGTACGAGGAAACACAAACATCTTCCTCTTTTGCTGGACCTGGTGTTGACGTGAGTTTTCAGGGCACGTTGAGTCATCATGCTTTTGAGGATTTGAAACAGCAACAACTTCAATACCAACAAAATTTCCAAAAACATAATCATCATCGTCTCCATGGAAACCATTATTCGTCAACACCCCAACAACGCGAGTTTGGGTTAAACGGCAATAGCACAACGACAACACCACCCACACTCGATCTCGGCATGACGATGAATACGCTCAAAGGACCTATTGCCATGGAGGAGGAGGATTATTATTATAGTCACGAGCATCATTCGAATCATATACCCGCTATCACACCACAACCATCACAACCACTCGCGGATGAAAAGTGGCTGCCTATGGATGAACGTGAAGATGACCTATCATCCCAAATCAGGCTTATTCGGCACGAAAAGCGTTATTAGAATCCTTCCTCCCACCCCCCCCAATTGCATGCATACGCATACACACACACATTTGATCATTTGTATTCCATTACTTTTTGCATCACAGTAAATGTACAAAACATCCCGCGCTACTATACATGTTCTGGATCATGATGGCCCGTGGTCATATTCAAGCGTGTAACCAAAGTGCAACATTGCCACGTAATGAATTGTAACATGCAACGTAAAACCCACGTGGCAGAAATCACATGACACCCTTTATTGTGCGAACCCTCTTTTATCTAAAATGCAACCAACAAGCGCAGCACTACTATGAGTGGAGTGGAAAAACAACCTTTATAATAGAAAGAATGGGCAGGGTGTGTGTGTGTGTGTGTGCAAAAGAAAGAAAGAAAAAACGAAGGATACATTTAATTAAATGTTGAAGCCTGGGGTTCGACCTCCCGGTAGATGCTTTACAGATTGCTGCGTGCGTGGGTATGGAGAGCTTTGAGAGGGGGTTGGAATAGCAGGCTTGTTGATGGTATCTAATGACGATGCAACAACTGGAGTCGTAACAAGAATGGAAAAGAAGAATAACAAAACATTGGGAGAAAAGAAAAAAAGAATCAATCAGCCAAAAGACAAATCCATGGTATATCAAGACCGAAGAAGCAACGCGTTACCATCGCTGACATTTTCATCGAGCTTGGGGTGATGCAAGTGAGGATGATGATGATGATGATGATGCGTCGTCATGCTTGGAGGTGGAGTAGGCAATTGTTGTTGACGTTGTTGTTGTTGGTGACGAACCCAATGATGATGACCGCCGCCACTGCTGCTGCTACTACCTGTACTATTGCTAGTACTCACAGGGACAAACATACGATCACTTCCAGGAGGTGTGGTTGTTACCGGTACAAATTGATCTCCTCCACCACCATACATGGCTGCTGCTGCTGCTGCTGTAGCAGAGGAGGAGGAGGATGGTAGTGGCTGTGGTGGTGCGGCAGCAGCAGCACCTGAGACTGGAAACAAATCATGACCAAAAAAGATATCGGGCATCGATTGATGAAAATTGGGTCGATGATTACTGGTCGTTGCTGAAAAAGAGGTATACGGCATAGGAGGTGCATGATAACGTCGCGTCGCCGAATCCTGCATAAGACCTTGACGACTACGAGGAGAACATGACTACATGAGAGGATGGTGATCATCAGCATTTTTTAAACTTGCATGAATGTTTGTGTTACTTACATTGCTCGCTTGAAGACGAGGTGAGGCCCAAATGTTCTTTCCCGGCATAGGGGTCGATAACACAGCGGTAGATGCACGACGACGATCCATTGGATGAGGAGGTGAACTAGGCATGTTTTCAAAAATAGCACGTAAAGGACCATCTTTGAGTGACAAGTTGGATTCACCCAATTTGCTATTCTTTTTCTCTTCAGCAGGGAATATCGACCACGAGGAGCCATCAAATGCAGGTAATGGTAAGGGTCCATTGAACAAGTTGTACTCTCCAGCAGTAGTAGTAGTGCTACTGTTGCTACCTTGGGGTGTGGGTTGCTTGGTAGCATCATCGTTAGGCGATGGGATGGCTGCCAATGTATCCTGGTCAATGTTGAGACACGAGTCATCCGATGTGGGAGAAATAAGACTGGTATCATTGGTAGCAGCTGTTGTTGTTGTTGTTGCCATATCGCATGGGACATTGTGTTGCTTGAAAAAGTGATACAACTTGTCCTTGGCATTCGATACATTCTTCCCATGTTCTTGTTTATAATGCAAACGAATCACGCGAATATCTCGCACGATGGGTGTGGATGATTTCCATTGAACATGGGCTGTTGACAAGGTGGTGGTGGTGGTGGGTGGCGGATTGCTGCTGCTATCGAGATCCGGTAAACGCACTTCCATCTTTAAATCTTTTGTCAGGTGACGTGTAAGAGTGTCGAGTTCCTTGGCCTTGTCCGTGAATAGCTGACGCAACTCTTCAGTTAAGGGTATTAAGAAATGGGCTTCTCGCTCAATCATGGTATTCAAGAGTTGCAGCACGGCACCAATTTGAGAGGCAGGTCCCATGACAGCCACTTGGTCTGTGCCTGATCTCTCGGGCCACCATACTCGTGTATTGTGTGTACGGCATGCCTCTCGTATCTCGCTGCCATGGACGTGTAAAATGGTGCGTTGTTGATAGCATGGAATGCGTACAACGCTGGTCGTGAAATCTCGATCCTTTTCAAACGTAACAAAATCCATCACGGCTGCTTTGAGATTCTCAAGGTTGGCTTGATTCTTCATGGGTGTGCGTGCTACCACATTATGCTCGTTCTCAAAATAGCCTCCCAAGGATGTGAATTCCTCAGCACCCGAAAACTTGACATAGACACCAAAACGTTTCATCACACGCTGAATGTTCTTGCCGGCAACACCAATGATACGCCGATGGTATATCTCAGGTACAAAAAATGACATCTCGGCTGGTAGCTCGTCTTGTAGCATGCGCAATCCTTCCAATGCCTTATCAGGATCATCACTCTCGACCGTAATCACAAAATTGTATTCGTTGAAGGCAAGAAACTTGATACGCACACCACACGTTTTCATGATCTTGTTGACTTTGCCGTTCTTTTTGCCGCTCAAGAATTCACGTTGGTCTGCTGCAAGCTCGACTGCAAATACGCTTAGGGTATGGTGCATCTAGTAGTAACGATTTGTTTATATCCCATGGATGCATATCATCAATACACAACAACAACTTACTTTGAGCACGGGTATGCCAGAAAGGATTTGATAAGCGGTATGCACGGCTTGTTCAATACCAAATGCTTCGAATCGACCAGTCTCAGTACGATAACTCAATTCAGCACCAGAGGCTTGGGAGATACGTTGTAAGAGTTGCGTCAATGCTTCAGGTGATCCAAATAAATGCAATGGGTCCTCTACGCGTTGTGATCCATCGCCTGAATGCTTGATGCAGAAGGAGACTTCATATACCTTGTAGATCTATGTACGACAACAATGATGATGATAAGTCTTGTGATAGAGAATAAAGACATCATGCGTACCAAATAATTGAGCGATCTGAGAGTACGTTCCACATTAATTCTGTTCTCGGCATACACCGTAATGGTATTGCTACCAGAGCCAAGTGCAGGAAAAGCGATGAAGGACCCTATAGCAAATGTAGTGAGTGTGACCTCGTTCACAATAGCATGATTCCTTTCATTTTCCCCTCTTACCATTATCTCGCATAATCTTTCGTAATTGACCTTGTTGATGGAGCATGATCCAATCGAGTTTTCTTGGATGCATTGTCGATTGCTTGTGATACATGGACTTGGCCTAGATGCAAAGCGTAAGTTTGCCTTGTTACTTTGTCTCTCATGCCCAATGAATTTACCTTTTGCGTGGTCAATTTCTTTAACATTTCCTGTGCACGGGAAATACCCGCACTATCGCCAGTCAGATGAATGGTACCCGATCGATCAGCCACGGGAATAGCCATGTGTTGAGAATCACCGAGCTTTGTGAAAGGCGATTGAAGATAAATGTTGGTATTGGTTTCTTCCAGAATGGATTGGATATTGATATGCTTGCGACCAGCAATAAGATTATGAAGATAATAGGGTATCTGCAAGGTGTCTGTGCGTAAACCCATCTATAAGAAAGAGAGCGAGAGAGAGCGATTAGCGATGGGACGGAGTTATATATAAGCGTAGGTAACTTGCCATTTGATCAAGAAAGACCAAGATGCGAACACGAGCTGATTCAGCAGCATCCAGTGAGCCTGATACGATGATCTCTGGTTCTGAAATGTCTTGCACAAGAAACTTGCAGTGGGTATGGGATGCAATGTCATCAAGACCAGCAATAAGGACCTGCCTTTTGCCAGGAGCATGGATACAATCGGGATTGAAAGATTTGATGACCAGCCTAGTCTGGTAGATACAGTACATGGAAACATGGATGATGATTATTAGCGTTCAAGAAGAAGAAGTATAGTCCATTTCCAAACACATTGCACACTTTTTCTCAAAAGGTATTGTTCCGAAATCCTTGGTGAAGTTTTTCTCTCTCTCCCTCTCCCTCTCCCTCACACTCTTTTGGGTATAGCTCTTGCTCTTGCTCTCTCGCATCCCTCACCTCTACTGGATTTTGTCGTAGGATATCAGCTCTCGCAGCTTGGACGGCAGCAAGAGGTCCGTTCACCACCACGTTAAGAAACGTCCTGGAAGACGACAATCGTACCGTGGAAAAATGCACATGCTGAAGTTGGGTATGAGTAGCACTAAATCGATCCCGCATCGCTGCAATCGCTGTCGGATCAATAGCGTCCATTGAGTCCGTGTCTGGTGGGATCCCCAAGCATAACGAATAGGCCATGTAGCCAGTCATTGTTGTTTCTCGTAAGGGTGGTGTTGTTGTGGTGGGGTAATAATAGTAATAGTCGTTGTGTATATGAGGTATAAGAGAAAGAAAGAAAGGTGCGCGCGCAACAACAAAGTCTGCTGGTTGTTAAATGAGCCAATGCCAATCGTCTTTTTGTTGTTGTGGTGGTGGTGTTTTTGGGTTGGTGAAAAGGCGGCAAGTGAACGAAAAAGGGAGAAAGAAAAAAAAAGAGGGTATGGGCTTTTGAGTTATTTCACTTTTTGGTCTGTGTGTTTGTGTGTTGTGGTGGTAAAAGAACAATAACAACTTTTCTCTCTTGGTACAAACCACCTACACTTTGAACTGAGCTGTGTGTGTATTTTTTTCGTGCGGGACTTTTTTCTCCTCCTCTCGCTCGTTCTCGCTCTGTCTCTCTCTAACTCGCTCTCTATCCATTCATATGGATGGAATGATATCAATAACATACATCACGTAGATACCGGCATTGCAGGAACAATGTCATTTGTTTCCGAGATTATAGACAAGTCATAGAAAATGATAGGCGGAATGCCCCTGCTTTTAGGGTGTTAAGGGGTGTGTGTGTGGAAGAAAAGAGAGAGAGGGTCGCCGATAATAACATGTCATTCACTATACGCACACACACACACACACATGAATGGTATGTGTCAATCCTATATCGTTTTCCAATAACTAGCTTGAGTGTTTATTCATAATTTGGATCTGGTCAATACGCCGGTCGATATCTGCATAAAAAACAAGAGCTTTTTGAGTTAGACTTCTCATAGGTTGTGTCAATCAATGATGGATGGGCCGCCCGCCCGCCCGCACGACCCGCCCCATTTGCTCGTGCAAAAACCTTAACCGTAAAAAGCTATCTCATCCCTTCTATCGGTCACACATACATACATGCATGGGATATGAAATATGCTTATGTACGTATCTACACACCCTCTCTCTCATACACACATAATTCCAGTCTCCAAGCCGTCGAGATTTAAATCAACAATTGACGCGATTGAAAGAAGCTTCTTTTTCTATTTGCCCAAAGTTGGTTTCAAAGGAGGATGATGATGAGGATGAAGAGGAGGAGTGCGTATGTGTATAGGGAAAAATGAGCGGTCATATTACAAAATGTTTTTTCTTGTCAAGTTATCAAATCGTTTAAACGTGTAGCCGACAAAAGCCAAATCCTTTTGTGCATTGACGGTATCCGTGGCGTAGTCTGGATATAAGAAAAGCCGATTAGCCACATACACACATACACATTCTCTCTCTCTTTCTTACCTTGAGGCATGTGATGAGCATCCACAGCTTCGGGAATAGCATCCAATTCTTCGGTAGGGAAATGGCTGGTGTCCGTGATACTTGACAATTGCGGTACATAGGGCGATGGCTCAGATCTTAATGTATCCCAATTAACCCCGTAAAAGAATGGATGCGCCTTGATCTCTTGTACCCCGAGACGTCCTAGTCGATACTCAGCGTCACATACAAGTCTATGATCACAATAATGAGTTGATGTTTTATATACACTTCGATCACATTACATTACATACCTTCGAATCAAATCCTCAGCTTCTCGACTAATAGGTTGATCATCTGGAAACACAAGCGTCTCTCGCCAATTCATAATCTTGCGATAGGTATCATGGGGGTGATCAGAGCAAAAGGGTGGATAGCCACAAAGACATTCAAACATGATTGTGCCAAGTGACCACCAATCACACTCTTGGCCGTATCCTTTTTGTAAAAAGATCTCGGGTGCAATGTAATCCGGTGTTCCCACTGTTGAATAAGCCAATCCACGACGATTCTTTTTCCATGTTGCGATTTTCTCCTTGGTGGTCAAATGGATGCTCTCGGTCCCGCTTGTGTTTTCTGCACCTTCCAAGAGACGTTGATAATATTGTGAATGATGTGTCTTGTGGAAACCCGTGGATAAGCCAAAGTCAGAGAGCTTAATATGACCATCCTTGTCGATCAGAATGTTATCAGGCTTGATGTCCCTGAAATGATGATGATCAACAACAGCATAAGGAATGAGCGAGGGGGTTAAAACGATGTATCCCTTCTTCCTTACCGGTGAATAAATCCAAGGTTATGTACAGCTTCCAAGGCCAAAACAATTTCAGCCATATAGAATCGCGTCACCGGTTCGCTGAATGTGTCATACTTTATCAACATGGTCATTAAATCCCCTCCAGGCAAGAATTCCATGATCAAGTAGAGGTATTGCGTGTCTTGGAATGAAAAATAAAGCTGTGTCACCCAAGGCGAATCGGACTCTGCAAGGACGTCTCGTTCAGCTTTGACATGTGCTAACTATGGTCAACAAGTATTAGCCATGTAGGTGGGATCCATAACGCATAGACATCAATCACTTACTTGATCCTTTTTCATCATTTCTGATTTCCTCAATGTCTTCATAGCATAAATCTTGCCAGTATCACAAGCTTGTACCAACCGTACCTAACATAAATCATTGTTGAGATCATCATCCTTGGATCATCATGTTGCTAATTTACCTCACCAAAGGCACCTTTACCAATTACTTTGACGGTGACAAAATCATCGAGTCCAAGCCGTGTACGTCGTAACCGTAAATACTGAGACTCCTTACGACCAAGCGATTGCAATTGTCGATTCTTCTTTTCTTGGCTGCTTTGTTCATCTTGAAGCCGTTTTTCTACTTCCACCCTCCTATAGAGACCATTTAATAATGCCATCCATCGATAAAAGAGGGAGAGAAAAGGCTACCTTTGATTACGTTCAATAGCTTCTTGAAGTGTCACTTTGTAGTGATGTTCTAAACGTAGTTTGGCGGCAGCAGCACGATCGAGTGCACTACGAGGGAACCCTTGTGTCGACCGAGCAAAATGAACGTCTGCTTGTTGTGTCATGTCGATGGAAGAGGTGGTGGATGATGTGGAGATGGATGGTGGTGGTGGTTGTTGTTGTTGTTGCTCAAGCGATTCTCCGGAAACTGAGTGTCTGGTGGTGGAATGGTCGTTGGAAGAAGAAGGGCGTCGAATATCAATGAGGTCTGCAAATCTCATTTACAACAAGATCGTGTGCATAGCCTTGATAGAAAAGAGAGAACCTGTGTGTATGTAGCGCAATTAATCAAGTTATCGGAGTGCATCCCAACCCTTGATCCTTTCATGTTTCCTATATCATGCAGGTGGTGGCGGCGTCTCTGACAACCTTTTTTTTTTGTATACAATGGGCCACCAGTGAATGTTGTTACCATCCATAGTTTATTGACATTGGCTAAACTTCATCATCCTATCGAATACACCGGGATCAAGCTGTTCCTGAATAAGAAATGGGTACCTGGGAGAGATGAGGAGGACAAGGTCTGATCACATCATACTCAAGGCGCTAAAAGTCATTCGTCGAGTAGGTCCCATGAAAGTATAAATTCGGCTTCCCCACCTTTTGCGGTTCCGAGGAATATGCAAGGTCTTGCTCACCACCACCAACACCAGCTGACTGAGAGCACACATCTTTCCCCCCCCCCATACACACACAAACCCATGACATTGGTGATATCAGTAGTGAATGGACGCGTTCGTAAAGGAGGACGAAAGAAAGAGACACTTGTACGCGTAGTAGTAGCAGCTTCATAGTCGACTCCGATTTTGACACATTCAACTCTTTTCTTTCTCCCCTCACGTTTTAAGCATGGTCGTTGTTGACAAGAAAAAAGCGTACACTCTGATATTTATTCAAGACGAAGCCAACCAAAAGGTATATAAAGGGGTTGTTGTCGATACGAGGAGGTGTGATTGACTAATCCCCTCATCACTCGACTAGGTCCTTCTCGGAATGAAGAAGCGTGGCTTTGGTGTGAATCTCTGGAATGGTAAGAGATCAAAGCATAGTGTCTACACGCGGCTGGGTGTATTCAAAAGATGAACGCTATAGGATTTGGAGGCAAGGTGGAACCTGGAGAGAGCGTATTGGAAGCTGCACACCGAGAATTAGAGGTAGGTGGTCATCATCATTGTATGCCGCCGCAGCAGCACATAGTAATAAATCTTTTAGGAAGAGGCGATGATCAAAACGGATCACCTTGAAAAGATTGGTCTCAATGTATTTACATTTGAAGAAAGCCCAATGGCACTTGAAGTCCATATATTCAAAGGAAAGACTTTTCAAGGCACACCTACCGAGTAAGTACAGTGGATTGGTATGGATGAGGATGATGATGTAGTAACCTTGGATGGTGATTAGAACCGAGGAAATGCGACCCCAATGGTATTCGTATGATGACATTCCCTATGACAGCATGTGGGCGGATGACCGACTTTGGTTACCCTTCATGTTGAGTGGACAACCTTTTGTGGGTGAATTCCATTTTCCCAAGGTACGATAATCATCATCATAAAGTGTGCATTAACTCAAAGAGAATGATTAGGATGAGAATGTGGTGCTTGAACAGAGCTTACAAAAAGTGACGACTGTACCGGAAGAATGCCGTCTTGATCAGCGGGTGTTATCATATGGTAGAGTTAATGGTGCACAATAGATAAAATGTACATTGTAGCAACAGATGATGTGTGAAACATGTGAGCTACCACGATCTAGGTCCGATGATGCGATTGGGTGCCGATCTTGGGTGGGTGGAGCGTGCGGCCAATGAGATTGGGGGTGGGGTTGGACCACTGCAAAAGACCCTATTCAGGGTGATACAAGGTGTGGGTGTGTGGGTGATGATGGTGGTGATTATGGGTGATGTTGCTTTGTGTGTGTGTGTGTAGAGGTGAAACGTTTCCCCTTTCTAGGTGGCTCGTTCGCAAACGATTTTTCGTTCTTTCTCTTTTCTCTCTTTTCTCTCTCTCTCTCTCTTTTCACACGCACACACTTGACGCATATATATATACATACACCCTTTTCCTTCCACTGCCATTGTGAAGCGATTCTACTACAACTCGCACTTTAATGACTCGGTGGAATGACAAGACAGCAGCTGCGATTGAACCGACAATGACTCACAGCAACAACGTGTCGTTTGAATCCACCACCACCACCACCAAACGACGACCCTTACCCGTTTCATCCTCCTCCTCATCGACATCATCACGCACTACTACTCGTTATGGCATGAATGAATCCACCGACACTACTAGTCTCGAAGCATGTATTGTGAGTAATCCTGTGGATCGCCAAATCCGATACGCAACCACAGCAGCAGCGATCATGTGTCTTTTATCGAGTATTGCTATGGTAAAAGTGGATCATCCGGCAGCATTCGTGTATACCACATGGTGGATATGGTCTACTTTGGCCTTATGGATGGGGTCCTACAATGACACTACGATGCATGAGGGATGGCTATCATGGGCATTGGGTGTATCTATTCTCATGGCCGTGCACCACCACATGACAATGCTTTTTATCAATCATAACAACAACAACCATCCATACTTGCTCCATGCATCGGCGTTGCTTGTTATTCCCGGTGCTTGCCTCTTTTGGTTTGCTCGACAGTTACATGCAGCACATGACTACCACCAACGCGAACTACTGCGCCGAATCTACGCGTCATCTCATCGACTCAAGATGTTGGATGCTGTTGCACAGGAAATGCAAGGAGTGGCAGGCATGATCACTACAACGCTTGAGCATTTTTCCCCTTCTTCCATCTTGGCTCGCACCCATGAATTACTCAGTGCATGTACGATTGCTGTTCCTATCACAAGCATTTCCGCTATTCATACAGCTATCAAACAAGTGCACCACGTCAGCCATAACCTTGATCTCGTCACGCGTTTACTTACCAGCACACATCATCACCATCAGCATCATCAGCATCATCATCATGATCCCGATACCTTTACAACATCCCACAGTGAGACGCAAGAGGATACATTGCTACTACAGCAGCAGGACAATGTCCAGTTTGATATTGGTGGTCTTGTACAAAACGTGGGTGATGCATTAGCTGGCATGGCAGCCAAATTGGATGTATACCTTGTTATCTATCATGCCGACAATGGACTCCATTACAGCAATGTCACAGGCAACGAAGGCATTATTCGTCATACGTTGTTGGATGCAAGTACAAGTACAACAGCAACATAGACATCATCATTAACACCTATTTTCTTTGTATAGTTAATATCACGAATTATGGAAGAGGGATGTACACCAGGTGCTACAGTGGAAGTGGGATTGGGAATGGCATCTCTCAATAATGGCTTGAAGCGTATCACCTTTGATATTGTTCATACATGTTCACCTGCCATCCCTATCAGCTTGGAAGCCGTGCTTACACCCAATTCCAATTTCACAGCCCAATTGATGCAGCATGTGGGTGGCAGCTTGGCCGTGGAAGAAATGGATCGTGGACGTACTCTCTTTCGATTGACCCTTGATATGAAACCTGGCGAACGTGATACGGATGAACAACAATTACTTGTCATTGATACGTCGTCACAGCAAATACTACAACAACAATTGTCAGGGATCCAGTTTTCCAATGAGCCAACACGGGATGAATTGGCCCAGTTTGTGAATACACATTTGAAAGGGATCAGGATGGTCTTGCATGCACCCGAGCAAAGTGTCTTTGCGACTCATCTTACAAGCTATCTTGCCAACCTCAATGTCGACATCAGTCATATTCCTATCAGCCGATTCCCTCGTCAAGAAATGAAAGATGCAGCATCATCACAACAACAATCGACGACGACAACGACGACTACTTTGAGTGAGCCCACCTTTGTATTGATTGACGATGATACCTATACATTGGAGCAACAATTACGTGAGTTTCGTTCTCAACCTCCAGTATCCGACAAGATGCTACAACATCATCAACAAATGCAACGCCGACAAAAGACGGCAAATCCTTCAACAAGTGGTGGTGGTGGTGGTGGACCTCATGGCAACTTTTTCCATCATGGCGTACAAGCCATCATTTGTTTTGCATCGCTCAACAAGTACAAACAAATTCGTGGTGTTGTACAAAGGTTTTCAACGGGGCAGCAGCATCATCCTTTTGGTATGCCGAGAGTCGTTGTGGTGCCCAAACCAGCAGGTCCTTTACGTTTCTTGACAGCGTTACACACAGCATGGCATAATCCAATGGTAGAACCACATTATTTTCCAATTGCTACCACCCCTTTTACGCCCATGACGGCACCACCTCCTCCTCATCCTTTGCATTCAACACCCTCCAATACCAGCACACCAGGAGGTCATCATCATCATCATCATCATGATAAAAGTGGTGGTGGTGGAAGTGGAAGTGGTAGTGGACAAAAACATTATTATTATCATCATCATCATCATCATCCACAACCTGCAATGGCATCTCCTCTCAGCGACAGTGGTATTCATCCTGGATCAAGTAGCAGTTATCATAGCACAGCAAGTCGACGACCAGGAGGAGGTCCCTCTCAACGACATAGTGGTGGCAGTGGTTATTATACCCCACCTGGTGTGAATTGGCCTGATAAGCATTATTTCACCCAAGAAACGATCGTGATGGATGGCACCACCACCACCACCACCGCCAGTACGAGTATGGCAAGTTCTCCTCATCATGCAACATCATCAACGACAACAACAAAGGAAAAACGTTTGCGATCTTCCAGTGGTACATTTTTTGCAAGCAATCGACCGATGGAATCAAGAATGGATGCCTTGGCTACACCTTATCGACCTGCGATGGCGGGCATGATGTATCCATTTGGTACAGATGATGATGACGATGACGATTTACGTGCAAGTGGAACAACAAATAGCCGATTCATGCGCATGAATACGGCTGCTGCTGCTGCTGCTATGGTGGGTCCTGTTGATGAAGATGATGACGACGATGATGATACGGATGACGATGATGAGGACGATGAAGATGACGATGAGGATAATCAACCATCATCATCACAACAACAGTCATCGGAGCAATCATTAGCACTCGTTGGACCATTACAGCGTCAACAACAAGATGGAAATGATACGACAACGGCTATGGCAAATACATCTGTTTCAGTAGCCAATGCGACCGACAATGCTTCTACATCCAGAAAATCACCCACAGGCACAACGTCAGCGAATCAGGCATCTTCCTCTTCAGCTCCAGTAACAGCTCGCAGGATTAGGCGGATGGTGAGGAAAAAGAGACGAGACAAGGGCACACCCTTTTCTGGTATGGCGAGTCCACCCATTCATGTGCTGATTGTGGAAGGTAATAAGGAGAAGTCGTCTAGGCACAACGTGTTGTTGACATTGATAGCATGCTACTAGACAACAAGATCAATCAAGTGATTTTGCAAACTTGGATGAAGAAACACAACATCAAGCATTCATCTGCCATGAATGGACAAGAAGCCGTGGAGAAATGGAAAGGGGGTGGTTTTCATCTTGTACTGGTAAGTCAAAGCAAGGAGGGGGTGACAAGGTTGGCTATTACCTATACAACAACAAGATGTGTATATGACAACAACAATGCCAACCCGCTTTATTATGATTGTATTCAGGCTAATTATTTCCTCTTTCATTCCCCTTCCCCCCCTTGTTCTTCTCTCTCCTACCCATGACTACTACTATTTCTTCTCCTCGAAATGACACAACCACTTAGATGGATATCCAACTTCCTGTTATGAATGGACTTGAAGCTACAAAGACGATTCGTGCAATTGAAAAGGAACAAAAGATTGGTGTGTTACCAGCATCAGCCTCTTTGGCAGACAATGATTCATCTGGCGGTGACAACAACAACAACAAGATGATGGCATCATCGGACCCACAAACGCCATTTCGATCACCGGTCATTATTGTTGCCCTGACGGCAAGCTCCTCTGAATCCGATCGTCATGCAGCTTTGGCGGCAGGATGCAATGATTTCCTTACAAAGCCAGTGAGTTTGGAATGGCTTGAAAAGAAAATTGTCGAATGGGGATGCATGCAAGCCTTGATTGATTTTGAAGGTTGGCGACGTTGGCGACAATCCACCAACAACAACACGACTACTACTACAACGAATCAACAAAAAATGACACCATCATCATCGATGTCGAGGCGGTCATCCAGGCAAAGGGATCATCATACTCAGGCCAGAAGGGGTTCATTAGAGGAGGCCGTGGAGGAGAGTTGTAGCATAGCAACCATACAACAACAGCCGACCAGCAGCAGCACGACGATGGCAACACCAGCTCAATCATCCTTGTTCGAAAATAATGAACATGGCGTTTTGCTTCAAGGTGTGGGTGAATGGTATCCCCGCAACAACAACAACAAGCATCATCATCAACGTCGTGTCTCCAGTATGGATATTCCCTCCTCAACAGCATCACCATCACCATCATCCGTAGCAGGGCAAGGAGCCATACGACGAGGGTCATCCATTATCCATAGCAACAGACGTTTAGCCTACCGAATGCCATCATTGCCTATTCGAAGTGGCTCGGACTCTGATCTTTTTATCGGCTTGGCGGGTTCTACAGCTCCTGGTCCTCATTCACTCTCTCCTAATCCTCGGTCACAACAACAGCCATCAGTGATAGGAGAGCAACAACATTCAGCATCATCAGCATCATTATCACAACCACAACCACCCACAGCACAATCTTCAATAGTAGGAGAATCAACGCTATCCGAGGAGGAGCAGAATAACAACAACCATCAACAACAACAAGAACAACATCCCTTGTCACTCATTTCTTCTTCTTCCTCTCCTTCTTCTTCATCCCAAAACAGGTAGCTTTTTCGATGCTTGTTCTTTTTTCAACCAGTATATATATATACATTTTCCCCATATAATAATTTGAGTGTGGGTGTGTATGTATGTGTGTGTGTGCTGTGCTGAGTCAGGAGGCAAATGTAAGGGCAAATGTCAGTTTCACTTATTACCCCATTGATCTCTCTAGGAGGAGGGAGACCGGGGTTGATGAGACAAAGCGCCAAGTGTCTGGATACACACCCATATACACAATTGACGCTTTGTCAATGGGTGTGAACAAGGAGTCATATAATAATAGAGCACAGAAATGTATTCACGTCATACAATCGATAAACGTCAAAAGGAGGCAACAAGATTATATAACAACCTATATCAAACAACCTTGCGTATAAAATGAAAACTTTGTCGACGTTGTACTTTTTTTTTCTTCCTTTCCTTTTATAATAGCATCAAGCCAACTAACATCATGGCCACCCGAATAATGCAACCTGCACGAGCAACCACCACCACGACGACAGCCTCCAGCAGAGATCCATTGTTTGATGTTGATCATGCCATGAACCCATATCGATTATCAGGGAGCAGCACACTTGCTCTAGCCGAATTTTTAGCATCCACAGGTCCTGAAGAATTCGCAAACCGTGCCTCTATGATTCATCATCATTCATCCAACAACGATGACGATGATTACAGCAATCATCGCAAGAAACAATTGAGTCTATTTCGCAAGTTTCGTAGTAGTAGTAATAATAGGCGTCAAGGATCATCATCAACATCCAATCCACCACCACCACAACAACAACAACCAGCTATTTCCAGTTTGAGTGATATTGTAGTGGATCATTACCATCATCGAATGCCTACCAGGAGAAAAGCAAATACACCACTGCTAGCACGTAGTGGCAGTGGACAACGTTTAGCACCACCCACACCGGCATCTACTTTGGCAGGGGCCAAGCACATCCCCCTATTGCCTGCATCTTATGAGCCCATGCTGAGAGATTCAGGTGTTTACAGTGTTGGCAGCAGCACACACCATTCATCATCCTCATCCTCATCGGAACATCCAAAGGCGGATAATATGCAACCGTGCACGTCCACTACTAGTGCTACTACGACGACTTCACCGATCCAGGATGATCTGCAATTATTCCCTATGCCACCACCCTCCGTACCCTCCCCACGCATGTCAACCCTTTCTTCTTGTTCCAAACAACAAAAACGGCATTCCATTTTCAAATCAACCACAACCACCACTCGTAGTAGTAGTAGTAGCAGTAAGAATGATACAACATGCCCTCATTGTCGACAACATGTGACCACCAACATGGAGGTTGAAGAACGTAAAAGACGCCGGTCGTCGTGTCCACCTGCCCTGGCTGGCGGTTTCAACATGGATGGGAGCAAGTTACTTGAACGCATTGCACAACTTGAAGCCATGTTGATGCAAGAACGGCTTTCTCGAAAACAATTGGAGGACTTGGTAAAGCAACATTTGCAGCAAAAGGATGGCAGCAACACATGATGCCATCATCTCTCTCTCTCTCTCCCTAAAACAGCAGTGCTGCAGCATCATCGCAGTAGGATGATGTTGAATGTTCCTCTTCTTCCATCACCCCCTTTCCTTTCTTTTTTTACACACACACACACACAATCGATCATGCACCATTGACTAATTATCTCTCTCTTGCCTCTCCTTTGTTTTTACGTAGCATAGTCTCTTTATTTTTTTTGTACTCTTTATAGTTTACTATCATCATCCAGCAACAACACTCATTTTGAATGAATCATTTTACAGTGCATGTGTAATGATAGAATGGATTACAATGGAAGAACAAGAGGTCATGTTTCACATTGGGATGGAAGTTGCTAGATGTAAAGGCAACTCACACAAATCCAACCGATCGTTCGAATGTGGGACTTTCTTTTTTCTGCAGCCAGCAAGCCAATCTTGCATATTACACATTTACTCTCTCTCTCTCTCTCTCTTGTTCTTTTTACCCCCCTCACTTGAACTCCTTGTCCAATTGCTTTCTTTTTCTCTTTATCACATTCACTCTCATGGGACAAAACTTTTCAACCACGAGCAATTCACACGATCCATCACGTCACATGAGTGAACAAAGGAACGATACCAACAATGCTTCTTCTTCTACTGCTTCTTCGCCTCGACGCACATTGAGTCGCAGTGCATCGGCTCGACAAGTCAATCGATACAATCCATTGTCACGATCCACTCGACCTATACGCACCAGTAGCAGTCAAAGTCTACCGTTGAATGCCTCGAGTCTGTTGAGTCCTAATGAAGAAGACCCACCGCCACCATCCGGTATGGTTACGCGATCAAGGGCAGCAGCAGCAGCAGCAGCAGCACTAGCAGCGGGTGGTCAACAACAACAACGACGACGACGAGATGTTGATAATGTACCCTACTCGTTGCGTCGTTCAGTTCGAATGTCCAGGATGCGAGACGAACAGCAACAACAAGAGGAATCAAGCAGCAGCATGATGGATATTGATCAACCACAACAACAACCTGATGCATCTACTACCAACAATGATCCAGCACATACCCTTTTAGCGCCTTCCATGATTGCAGATGTCATTACTCAAGCCGTACTATCAGCATTTCGAGATCGACATACGGGTGCTGGTGAAGGCAATACAACTGAAACCACAACCACCAATCCAGATCCAATGATGACAACCACAGCAGCTGCCGCAGCAGCAGCTGCTTCTGCTACTACTACTACAACAACAACAACGGGAGAAGGAGGTGAACAATCATTGGGACCTGAACAACTATCATCACTTGCTTCAATGCATATCCCATCCATGTTGAATCAAACATCCAATGGTGGTTCTTCGTCATCACCAAGCACTGGAGCATCGACCGATGAATCTTTTTTCAGATATGTACGATTGCCAGTCATGTTAACCACTGTATCCGCCAATGGTGAAACTCAACAATTGCGTGAAATGACGATGCCAATGGTCATTGTGGGATATCGTATTCGAGGCACGGCTACCACTACTACAACGACACCCACACCCAACGAAGGTGGTGATGATGAAGGACAACAACAAGGATTGCGACGTAGTCAACGAATAGCAGCCCAACGTCAACAACAGCGACAACAACAAGAGGAAGAGGAGCAGCAAAGAAATGCATCGAGTCGATGGATGGTATGGATTTATAGTGATACGACTGGAGAAGGGGGTGGCACTTTGCCGGGATTGAGCGAGTCGCCTACGTATGAGGAATTGCTATCGTTGGTGGAGTCACTGGGTCCTGCCAGATTCCCGATCAGTATTGAACAAATCGATGCAAGTGCTCCTACGCAACAATACAATGCTCAAGTGGCGGCATCCATGGTGGGTGATACCGAAAATTGTCACGTGTGCTTGGAAAAGTTTGTTGCCTTGGATGTGGTGCGCGTCTTGAAATGTCAGCATGGTTTCCATCAAACTTGTATCGACAAGTGGCTCACAGAAGGTCAAAACCGATGTCCCTTGTGCAGAGCTGTTCCTGTTGAACGTACACCAAACAATACCACCTCCACCACTTCGACTACTACACCATCCGCTGAAGCATCATCTCACTAACGATCCTTCCTATTCTATGCATCCAAACACACACACACACACACACACACACACATCTATATATATACGCACACAACACACATATATATCAACAAGCAACCTCATTTGTATACACACATCTCCTCCTCCTCCTCCTCGTCTTCTTTTTACCCATCGTCATTGGTATAACCCCTCTTCCCAAAAAGATCACAACAACAACGTTAGCATAGCGGTAATAAACACACACACACCTTGCTTTGTAAATATACTACTCTTTCTCAAGTGTAATAAAAAAGAAACATTCTATCTTCCGCTGTATATCAAAAATGGAGGAGTGCAGCACCGACATCGGGCCAGGCACGAGGGCAGGGCGATCATTTTCTCTTGTCTTACAATGCAGCCAAGAATTAGAGTGATGAGAGCAAACGAAAAAAAATGATGAGAGAGAGCGGGCGGGGCGATCGGTGTGTGTGTTGGATGCATGTGTGCCCATCTTTCGGAATCTCAAAGGAGGACTGGCTGGCTGGTTGGCTGGGTCACTCTTTTCATCTTTGAATGAACCATAACACAAGGTGCATGGAAACATGGCAACACAAATGGATGGCTCCACTCATGTCAATGGGGGCCTCGAAGCACGCTAACAAGCATTTTCTCACTATTGCGAAACAAACAACCACATCTACAGTTTAGCGTGTTTGTGTGTGGACCTTGAAGCATAAAAATAGGCCGTAGGTGATGATTGGATGCCTTAAATGAACTAGACACCGCTGAAGTTTAAGCGCATGCCTTTTATGGTACAGCAAAGGAGCAAAAATTCAAGGGCGAGAACGCGTGTAGCCCGGTCTTGACCCCATCATATGCCGATTTCAGTATGATCCCATATCCTTGGTCTCTTTTTTGTTTTAAATCAAATGATGGGTAAAGAGAAAGAAAGAACAAGGAGAAATGTAAAAACGCGTATGGGCGCTTTTATATATACTTGGCTCCCAAAATCAAGGAGAAGGGAAAAGAAAGGAGTTGTATATATCACAGCAAGCAGCAGTAGTAGTAGTAGTCGTTATAGTTACATGTTGATTTCTGCCCCGAGTCATTATGGCACCATGTTATCGCCTTGCTTTATCGTTCGCTTTCGATCTCCATTTGGTACCTCCCTAATTTTTTGTGTGTGCCTCGTTTCTTTGTGGACCCTGTTCCTTTCTCTTTCGCTTTCTTTTTTCTCTCTCTTTCTCTCTCTCTTGTGCTCTTGCTCACTCTTTCTTTCTTTCTTTCTTTTTACTGCTTCCCCACTTCCTTTCATTTTCTCCACACACACATACATCTATTATACATCCTATCATCACCTCCTCTATCCCGCTTCCTCCTTTTACATCCGACTCTAGTGTGTGAGCAATACCTCTCTCCTCTTCATCATCAACAACATGAAATTGCTTGCCACACTTTTACTCGTGGGCCTTTGGGCTGCGACTTTAACCGATGCCTACTTTTACGTTCCCAATTTCATGAGCTCGTTACCATTCCAAGGCGGTAGTGCCTTTGCACAACGTGGTGGTGACTCGATTGTGATCTTTGGTGGCGAGAATGGTACCAACCCTTACACCAACGGCCTTTTCCAGCTTCAACAAACCGGCGATACCTTTACTTGGCAAGCCTTGGAACAGCAAAATCCTCCACCAGGCTCTACATACGGCCAAGCCATTGTTTCCAACACTGGCAGCACCTTTTTGTTGATGGGTGGTCTTTCCCAATCCACCGCTAATCAGCTCTTGCCTTTGCAAATGTACTCTTACAACTTTGACAGCAAATCTTGGGGTGCCTGGGGCGGCAATGCAAACACAAATGCTACCGGTGTGCCTTTGAACCGTCAACGTTTCACCGCCACCTATGATAACAACACCAGCGTTTACATTTATGGTGGTTCGCTCAACAATTCGGTCATCTTTGGCGACTTTTACAAGTTGGATACCGGCAAAATGCAATTCACTGAATTGCCTAATGCTGGTGAACATCGTTACGGTCATACCGCTTCCATGTTAAGGTAAGCTCTAATTTCCATCATCATGATGGGGGAGAAGACCACGTGTATGTGTGTATGTTGCATGTATATCTTTAATGTGCAAATTTGATTTACCACATAATAATTGTGCACAACCAATCATCCCAATTCTTGTGCTCCCCGACAATGAATGGGAAATTTTTATTCCTTTCTCTCCTCAAACACTCGCATGCTGATGATCATGATTTTTCTTTTTTACTTACATCTAGTGATGGCAAGTTGGTTGTGATTGGTGGTGTTGCTTTGGATCAAAACAATGTGCCCGACCTTGTCCCAATGCAACAAGTTCTTGTATTCGACACAAAGACCAACACATGGACCGCACAAAACACCCAATCTTCAGGTGGCAGCTACCCTTCCACTCGTACCGATCATAGTGCCGTCGTCAGTAAGTGCTCACATGCCAACCATGCATAATTGACAATGAAATGTTAATCCCATATCCATAAACAGCCTCCGACGACAAGATTGTGATTTTTGGCGGTATGGAAATGCATCACGTGTACACATGTAATACCAAGAGGGTTGACATGTTGGGTTCTTTTTTTAGGTGACAGTGGCAGTGATATGAGAAACCGACAATACTTGAATGCTATTGCTATTCTTGATACCAAGACATGGACCTGGGAAATCCCTACCGTCGACGGTATTCCTCCCTCGCGTCGTTCATTTGCCGTCTCTGGTAGCTTTGATGATCAACATGTTTTGTTTGCTTTTGGTAAGTCACATGCATATGCACACATCAATGTTGATAAAGAGAGCAAATTTTAACTTGCATATACGTATAATCTAGGCTCGGCTCTCAATACGCAATACAATGATCTCAATGTGTTCAACTTGGCTGATTCCAAATGGTTGCAATCCTTTGATGAAAGCGATAGCGATTCTGGTTCGGGTGTCTCTGGTGGTCTCATTGCTGGTGTTACCATTGCTGCTGTTGTATTGCTTTGCATCATTTTGTTCTTGTTGTGGCGCTTCCAATCTTACATTCGCTGGTTGGCTCTTCGCATCCATCACGATATCTGGAAGCCACGTACCGGTGAACCTGTGTGGGCTGAAACCAGTCGCATTGTGTGCCAAATCTTTATGTTGTTCCTATTTGTGTGCTTCTTGGTCTTTGTGATCCGCCAAGCGATTAATAGCCCCAATGTTACACAACGAATTGAGGAGGCTGCTGCTCAAGTTGATGTTCCAGGTATGTGATTTGGTTCTCGGCCCCCTCTCTCCCTTCCCATACTAAATGATATTAATTTGTTTTCTACAGATGTACGATTCTGCTTTGATGGTTTCCCCACCTATGGCAACAATGATCCTCGTGACCCTGGTGTTGTATGCCAAACCGATACCGGCTACTCTTGCAGTGGCTCGATTCAACCACTCGACATGAGCGTTTTCACACCTTCCTTTGCATCCAACCTTGGTGCTGTTTCATGCTTCTTGTTCCGTTCGGATGCTGATTTCAAGATGACTTCCACTTCAGGTGCCAATAACGGTTCACGCATGTTGTTCACTTTCTTTGGTGATCAATCTGTCAACTATGGTCGCGTGCACGTTTCTTTGTATCCCAAGCAAATGGATCCCAACGTCAAGGTGTACAACCTCAATGATGACATTCCCGTCATCATGTCTGATTTTGATGTCTTGACATGGCAAGTGAATGAACGTAACGATCTTGGCACCACCAACATCTTTGAAGTCGAGCCCTACAGCTACAATGCCCTTAGCTACAACTTGATTGATCATCGCTACTTGCAACCTGTTGGCTGGAACTATGTTGGTTTCTCTCCCATCACCAACTCGACACCTGAAGTTGAAAGCAATTTCCGTGCTGAGGCTCCCAATCCCAACTACACGCAAACCCACGCTGACTTGGCCTTTATCGCTATTTACCCCGAATCCTTTGCCAACTACACCGATCGTGAAGTGAAGATGTACACCTTGCTTAATGCACTTGGTTTTGTTGGTGGTATCTTTGGTTTGTTGGTTGCTGTACAAACCTGGTTATTCGGTTTCCGTCCTTCGAGCCCATGGGGTTTGGTGCATCGTTGGTCCGTGGGTGAGATGAAACGTTCATTGTTGCGTGGTTTGCAAACAAGCTTCAAGCCTACCGATTCATCGATTCCTCTTGTTCATCCTTTACATCCACGTTTCTCCATGAACAACATGCCACAGGATTTGGCATATGAATCTGAAGGTCAACGTATCTCTCGAGTGGAAGAACGTATGCAAATGATGGAAATGCTCTTCAAGTCATACTATGTCAATGATGAGATTTTCCGTTCTTTGGACAATGCCACCAAATCGGTACCACCAGGATCTACTGCAGGATCGCCTAATGGCCCCCTCTTCCCTTCCGAAAAGGGCGCTGATGTCCAGCGATCCAATACAGGTGGATTCTCTCACATGTTCAATCATCGACAAAGTGTAGCAAGCACAAGTAGCGATGCTCACTCCCAACAAAACTTGAATGCTAGCGGTCGCTTGTAAAACATGTTATTATTTACACACCTATATTAAAAACAGGATTCCCCCCCGAAAACACACACACAACACGCACTCGCACACACACACACACACACATTCACACACACTCACAGCACTCGCAACAACAATCCACCACATCGTTGACGATTCCATATTGACATTCATATATAGTTTTCACACTTTTAACTCTTTTCTTCCCCCATCTCTCTCACACTACCCACACATATCCCAACAACACTCACACACTCAACCTTGTCCCCAGAATAGAACACTTGTTCGGACACCATTTCATTAATATTATGTTGTTTTAGCATTTAAAAAGCTGCCGTGTCAATGTTGTCAGTGCTATGTATAAAAAAATCACATGGAGATACTAGTATGATGTCATGTTTTCATTTCGTGTGTCTTGGCTTTGGCGACGCTATCTTTTTTCTAAGGACAACAGCAACAGCAGCACCATGGCATCCTCCACGCTGCACGGCAATGGCGATTTGCAAGTGACATTTGCTTCTGAAGGATGGCAAGGTCAACAACAACGACAACGTATGCTTGTACTTGACTCGTCATTCAACCCACCTACACGAGCCCATCAGGCGCTTGTGCATACCACCGTATCGCATTTCGGCCCAGGATACTTTGACAGTTGTTTGTTGTTATATACGACGCGTAACGTGGATAAGTTGAATGCTACTGGTGCGTCTACAGAAGAAAGGCTGGCGATGATGACCATGATAGCGCGTAAGCTTGTCGACAGTGAACACCTTGCAACGGCCGTAGCAGTGACACCGCATGGCAAATTTGTCGACAAGGCAACGACGTTGGCACACCAGTGGCCTGATTGCACACCGTACTTTGTGTTGGGCTATGATACCGTGATACGATTCCTTGATGCCAAATATTATTTACCTACACCGCTCAATGATGCGTTGGCTCCCTTTTTCAAGCACGCCCAGCTGGTCTGTGCGGATCGTCCAGGTTATGGTGATATAGAATCCTTTTGGCAATCGTGTGTCTACAAGAATAAAATGACGCGTGTCGTATTATCGGATCCTGCCATTGCTCAATTATCAAGTACACTTGCACGACAACAAGCTCATAGCAACGACTTGGATACCATCGTAGATCCCGATGTAGCTAATTACATTCGCGAAAAGCAATTGTATTCTTCTTCTAAATAAATCTCTATTCTCCTTTTTCTATACAATGGAATCAGAAAAGATGCTGATGTGTGTGTGTGTGGGGATAAGGGATGTAGTAGTAGTCGTGATAGGTGGGGTCTAGATTTTCTTGCTCTTCTTGACCGTGGTGGAAGCAGCAGTAGCAGCGGCAGCAGCCTTGCTCTTGTTTTTACCAGCCTTGTAAGTCATGCGATAAAAGTTGATAAACAATAACAAATAGGAAGAAAGAAGGGCACAACCAAACCATGCAGCACCTTCACCTCCAGCACAAGAACCAAAGTTGGGCAAATGAGGAGCATACTTGCTGGCATAAAAGGTGTATGTGCAGCTGTAAATGACAACCAAATCAATCACAAACTGGATAATCTGCATGGTCGTCAAGTAACGCTTCCACCAAATCTTGGCACCCGATGCGGTACGGAAGTAGTAATAGTACATGAGAACGTGCACAGTAAGGTTAAGCGTAATAGGCACCCAAGACTATCATTTGCAATTGTCAGCTTTGAATGAATCCTTTTTTTTCCCCAATCATCCTCCTACTTACAACAGTGGTTCTGCCAACCAATTGAGTGTAGCAAAGGACCATGGTCATACTGTGATGGAAATAGTGCAAGAATTCTAACATGATTTCCTCTCCAATCAGCCAATCCATTCATACGCGCATGATATTTATACACATCCTCACTTACCAAGCTTCTTTTTCTTAAGCACAAGGAACACGGTGTCTGCCAACTCCCACCATTTCACAAGATAATTGAGGTAGTACAGCAATTCGTGCTTCTCGGTCCATGCTTCTGCCGAACAAATGGTATAGTAAAGACCATGACGCGCCAATTGAGGGACCAATTGTTCAACCAACAACAACAAGAGAGCGAGGGATACAATCGTCAACAAAAAGTTGTGAAGGCGAAAGATAAACTTGGGGTTGCTTGGGCCAGATTCACGGAGCATGTATTGTCCGCCAAAGATAACCAACAAATAGGTAACACATCCAATGGCAACTAGAGAAGTGTGTCTTTAATACCCTTCATCGTGGTGGTGGTGGTCCTCCATGTTGGCCATTGCTTCTTACCTTCTGGGACGGTGGACAGGGGCGTCTCTCCTTCTACAAAAGCAAAGTCCGTAGCCGACTTGCCAACAACGGCAGTGTAGAGTTGGTCAAAGTAATCCCACAAGTAGACACCAAATGGCCTGTCAATGCTGAACTGAATGGCGGACATGCAGAAAACGGGAGAGAGAGAGAGAGAGAGGAAAGGAAGGGAAAAAGGGAGAGGCGTTATCTCAAAACTTTCATGTGGTGTTGGAAAACAAGGTCCACTTGAAAAGTCCGATACCATTGTGTCTGATGCGGTGGCTCCATGCCAATGGTTCATTACGAAACACACCGAAAGAAAGAGTAAACAATACTTGTACCACTTTATACAAATAAAGTAACTTTCCCCACCTCTTTGGCATATGTATATGCATCGCTAATGTGAGATAATACTCGCATACAACCTAGGGATCTCAACAGCTCATAAAGACACCACTAATCCCATATAAAACATGCCATCCTCTTCATAAAATGACTCGTATTGGATCATTGACTTGGCTTGGTCGTGTTGGTATAACTGATGTACGTATCCATTTATTGCCAGCAAATAAAGGTCGATTCAAGGGAGCGATCACTTGTTTTATACATACACCTTTTATGACGCTTCACTTAACCAAGTCATTTTTACCGTATTGGATGCTCATTCATCTTCCTCAGCTTTTATGTATGCACATCAGGGAATACGGGGACTATCATGGTTGTGGATATTAGTAGCAATCAAAGCCATATGGTGGGGGGATGTTGATAGAATACAATTAGACATCTCGTACACCTTCTTCATAAACCATCTTCACGGTAGGGAATCGAAGAGAAGCCTGCCCGTTTTCACCAGGAGATTCAGCAAAGTATTGCACCGTGATGGGTTTCCCAATGATAAGATCCGGATTTTGCAAAAAGCGCATACGCTGCTGAAGAGTGAACCCCGATCCAACACTCACCGTTGTACCTGAAAAAAAGGTAGGATGAGTAACCATGGATACATCATGTGGGGGATTGAGCATTATTACCTTTGTGTTCAATGACAACACTTGTCATGACCTCCTTATCTTCACCTGTATCTGGCATCCTCATTCGTCCCGTTTCGATCGATTTGACAATGAATTCTTGGTCCTTCCATTTCTTAATCTTGATCATGTCGCGACTTGTAACACAAAAGGATGATTTAATTCCACACAGCAATGCATGCATGATTGTTTTTTTTTTCCTTACCTTCGTTTCCCCTGATACCCTGTATCTCGACGTAAAACCAATCCTTCCCATCCATGGCGGGCTGCCTTGTCCTTCATTTCCTTCAACATTTTCTTTGATGTGATTCTTGTTTGGGGCACCATCCTCAAATGCGGTTGTGAATGACCAATCCATGATTTCAGATACTGCTGTCGTTCTGTAAATGGGGTGGGATCAACGCCTTTCATGAATCCTTGTGTATCCACCAAATCAAATACTTCATAGACGGGATGATCCATGGGTTGCTTGGTCCTGATTTGCTTCATGACGCTGATAAAATCCTCCATGTGCTCGTCATAAACGCATATCTCGCCATCCAATACAAATGATCCATCACCACCCTCCTTCTTCTTTTGTCGTCTACGAATGGCTTCTTCCACTTTTTGCAATGTCTCAAAGCGTCGACCGGTGCGTGAATAGAAACGAATATCATCATGATTGACAAAAGCAATACATCGCACACCATCCAGTTTACGTGATGCGTACCATTCGCCATTGTCCAATGGATGTTGTGATAAAGGATGAAGGTGTGCCAAGGCAACGCTCGGGAATCGAAATTGATCATCATCTCGACGAAGGATCTGTTGGATTGTTTTTGTGGATACGCCCATCTTGAGATTACGATCAAGGATACGACAAAAGATTTGCTGCTGGGAAGCCGTATGACAATAAGATAGGTAAAAAGAGGCCGCTGCTTCAAGTGCTGCATTGCCTGTCAGTTGCCGTGACGCTAACGCATCCAGTAACGCTTCAAGTGTTGTAGGTGCTGTTGCTGCTGGTGTGTTTTTCTTTGCACCTTGTCGTTCAATATACGCCAATACAGTCCGTGAAGATATATGGAACCGTGAATGGGGATCGTATATGCGCTTCATGATGGAATGACAGCAAGGCATAAAGCGTTTGACTCGGAGAGCTTTTTCTATATTGCTGCTCGTCTCATTGACTGTTGTCGCAAGTTCATGCAATCGATCGAGCTTGGCTGAATTGGCATGTGTTGTCTTGGTCGAAAATGGACGATGCGGTGCTGTACATGCAACGATTCGGCGAAAAAGGAACATGCTTGAAGAAGGAAGAGGAGTAGAGCTGTAACACCGTACCAAATTTGGCGACTTATAACCACTTTTACTTTGCGGACCCTGGTGCCAGCTCCATCTCAAAGCTAGCTTTCCTGCATGATTTCAACATCAACAAGCGACGATGTGCGCCTGTGTTATGCAAGCCATATAGCGGGCCCATTGCTGATACCTTTTCAGCAATCAGCCTTTCTCTCCAAAGCCGTAGCTGTAGCTGCTATCCACACCTTCCGTATCTTGTTCTCTTAGTAGCTATAGAAGAGCTTCACAACCTCCCTTTATTTGTTTGCAATCCATGATGATCAATAACACAAAAGATCTTCTTGTCTCTGACAGTGATCCATGATTGATTTATTCTTCGTCACTCGAGAGAAATTCCTGCGTTGCTAGTAAATCTCTGTATACATCAGCCATATTTTCAGCTTCCAGCAAATCGACCTCGTATGCACTATCACTGACTCCAGTTATTCTTGCCATCGTTCCATAGTGAGGGTTAAGCATGACCTCTTCGTTCTTGATATCTTCAATGTAATTATTCATCTCAGACAAAAAATACCGCCAAACTTGATCCGACTCAAGTGTCCTTGGAATTTTGAATTGGAACATGCCAAGCACACCATAGACATAGTCCACTGGATCCATGCATCGTCGAGTGGAACCACCCAATGCACCAAACAGGTCGAGAAGTTCCTGTGCGCTCTTTTTCTTTTTGAGTCGACGTTCGTTGAAGGCTCTGGCTTGGTTTACGTTAGCGAGCCAATACATTAGTCCTGCTTGAAAATTTAGTGGTACAGTATTCGTTGATCATGTTCCAAGTATTGCGTACTCCTACCTCCAAATTGGGCCGGTGTACCCATGGGATGCTTGAGAGGTACACATCCCCAGCCAAAGGCTTCCGGTTCTTTTTTCATAGCGTCTAATGCTGTAACTAGATTAGTAGTGTGCCTCAATAATATACCAATATGGCATTACTACCTACCAAACCTATTGTTTTCCATGCAAAAATAGAAATTAATGCGTAAAGCATGTATACAACTGTTAATTAGGTCCTCCAGAGTGATCGTATTCTTTTCAAGTCGCTGGGTGTCTACTTCTGACATAAAATGCACATCTCCGGCAGGTAGAGCCATTTCTTGCCAAGTCCAAACACGTTGCCACCATTCACTTTCCATAAATGTAGGCACGCAATCCATCAGTTGGGGGTAATCTTTATAGGCTTGCTTGCCTTGAAGATATGAATCTTGACTTATATTCACGATATCATCGAACACGTCATTGAAATCCTCTTTTTCCTCGCCCTTCATGGTATGTAGTTGTGGTATCACATTAGGCTCACAGTCGACCATGGCAATACACTCAAGGCAACAAGCATAGATATCACCCATGATATCGAGCGGTGTATCAGTACGTGCACACAAGACGTCAATCCACCAATAACTATCAGGATGATCCTTGAGTAGCATTAACAATGCATCTCGTTTCTCTGGTCTCATGGAAACAGGTTTGACAGGTTGTCCATCTTCATCTTCCACATATTCGCTGATATCATTCCAGTGGTACCGGTTGTCTTTGGAGACCCCCCAGAGGTGCGATAGAGCGTAATAAAAGGATGGGATGCCCTTTTTTGTTTCATTAACCCTTTTGATCATGCGTTTTCGATGGAGTAAATTGGTGGCAGGTCTTATAATTTGCATCCTGTTGGCTCCATCCTCTGGCACATACAGCAACAAAAAGTGTGGGTCCGTTAAGAGTGCATCGAGCCCCTTTTCGAAAAACTGTTTAAGGTGGTAGCCCTCGTCATCCTCTAAGTTTATGCTGATCTAATAATAAAGCGTGTCAATATCACCACCCATGTACTCTCGTATTATGTACTTGGGATGGGTCGTCGGATTCGTCAGTGTCGCGTGTCATTTTGGAAAAGAAAAGGGTGACAGAAATAGAGATGATGCGTCGCCCTTGTTTTGCTGTGTTCTTTTGTTTTGTGCGACAAACATACATGCATGTCACAAAGAAGCATTACTATGTAGGAGCAAGCACCGAGTTTTCTTATGATCATTCCCACCAGCAAGTAGACCTCCTTTGCGAACAAGCGTGGGTTGAATGAAGCTCTTGTGATTGAGGAAAGAGTTTTAGGGGGGGATAGTCAATGAGCTGGCAGGTTCCGGTATATAATATGGCGTATCACAATTAGATAGCACAAGGAACTACATTCGGCTGCTGCTGCGTTACGTCACGCTATCATAAAAAGTGCTGGTCTTTGTTCATTGTCAAGCACCTCAACCTTAATAGATCCAAAGACGCAGAAGGGTATGTTGTGTAGAAAGCCGAAAGGTCAGACCTTGAGTTCAATGCATGATAGATGTGCAGACTTTGATTTTCAATTCATAAATTGCCAGCTGACAGCCCACTCCTCCCATTCTCCATCGTTGCACAATACCTTTGCATGTAAACGATGCTCTTGCTCTAGCCCAACACTTCCATCCTTCAACTTTCTTGATCCAAGGGGATTTGATTGAAAAACGCTCAAACACAAAACATCATCCAATATCAGAAGGATCAAATTGGTAAGCTATTTGTAAACTGCCGACTACTAGCCCATTCCTCCCATTCACCTTTGTTGTCCAATCCAATGCATACGAACGATTCTCCTGCTACAGCCCATCATCTCCATCCTTCAACTTTCTTAATCCGAGAGGTTTTGACCGAGTTACGCTCAAACACAAAACATCATCCAAGCATCAGAAGAATTAAATTGGTAAGTTATTTGTAAACTGCCGGCTAATAGCCAATTCCTCCCATTCGCTTTTTTTACCCAACCCAATGTATGTGAACGATTCTGCTGCGCCAGCCCAACATGCCCATGATTTAACTTTCTTGATCCGAGAAGATTTGATTGAGCAACGCTCAAACAAAGGATTAGCATTCAAGGCAAGTTCAGCTCACTTTAATTTCCTCTTCTTCCACTCCCAGCTCTCCTTCCCATTCTCTATTGTTGGCCCATTCAAGCACAACTACCACCTGCGAACGATTGTCCTGCTTCAACCCATCATGTCAACCCTACGATTGTCTTGATCCGATTGCTTTCGACTGGATGGCAAGCCTAGTGCCTGTACACAACCTTCTCGTCACTCTACTACAACACGTGCCTTCCTTGATTACAACACACCCCTTTGCACACTCCTTTGCCACGATCAAGCGTAATAGCATTCATTCCAGCAGTTGCTATCACAAGATCTCTACGCCATCGTCCCAAACAGTGCCATTTACTTGCAGCACCTTGCCTTACAGCCTTTTTTTGCGAGGACAGCAGACAGCCATTGTATAGAAGCAGCTTTATTTACGTGCACCAACTTGCTTTCAGACATACGCATTCCTATGGATGACCCATATCAACTATCAAGTACACCGCAACACAAGCAATCTTCGCCTGGATGAGCAGTGATGAAAATCAACAAGAATGAGATAGATCGATAGCCGGATGGAAAAGGAAGGCTCTTTCTTATTGGACTTGCAATGGTTATGATGGATGGATGGAAGCGTTCAAGTGCAGTGATGGAAAGTTTGGAATGTTGCTTTGGTTACTTGTCGCGCTGTCAGCAGGAACGATCACGTGGATACGGCTGAGGATGGTGATGATGGATTGGATGGGATTGTCGAGTGGACTTTTCTCTTTGACGAAGGATGTTGGTTGATCACCATGGATTGAGATTGGGATACTCGATTCGATGTATGCAGCAACTATTTTGCAATCATCGATGAAGTATGGCTACGACGGCAGTAACCAAGGATACAATAGCACGATTATCCCTGTTGATGTGATTCACCCGTAGCTTATCCAATTAGCAATGTTCTTTATCACCCTTATTTGATAATCATCCACACTACCATGTTTTAGTCTGCGACATCTTCATTATTAAATGCAAATTGGATTCAACATAATGTTACAAGGGTATTGTGCTAGCAGCTCATATGAGCGAGATATGGATCACTTGGTTGATTTCTGGATTGACAGGGGAATAGGAACTAGTTGAATTTAGGAAAGAGAGATCGGATCATCATTTACATGTCATCGTATGGATCGAGACGCTTTTGTTCTTTTGTGACAGTATACAGTCGTTTAAGCTTCCTAGTACACATGATGATAGACGAAAGGCAGTAGTAATTCTCAACACTGCATCGCAAAGACAGTAAATTCAGAGTGAAGGTGCCCAGCATAGTGTTTGTTGTATAAGCTTGGTTCATTGTGAGTTTCTTTCATTATGTTCAAGAAGAGTGAGCTGTGATACAATGTGGCACATGCATACCTATGACAAGTTTCACCGAAGCTATCTTACGCAACCTTATAAAAGAACGACCCATTTCACATGGCTATCATGGGCGGGACTTACTATAGAGGATGGAGCTACTTCATCATGCATCTTCCCACCAATAGCATTGGCCCTTCAGATCCCGTCCTCTTGGTTTTGAGTTACACAAACAAATCCTTCTGCATTTTGACTCATATGAGTGAGGCTATCGACAATGAACAAAGACGCACTTCTCATATAGCATCACGCTTACAGCATATGTAAAACATAAAGGTGTCTGTATCTCTGAACTTTACAATGAAACGTGGGGTCTTTAATAGAACAGAGTTGCTCGACGGGATCAAAGCGATCTTGTGTCAAAGTATGAAGTTCATCGTGGCCATTCCCAGATTCACCCAATGTCGCCACCAGCCAAAAAATAAATTGGTCGTCGTCAAGAAAAATTTCAAGAGGTCGACCCCTCGATCCACTTTGGCTGGTGGCGACAATGGCCAAATCTGGGAATGGCCACGATGAACTTCATACTTTGACACAAGATCGCTTTGACCCCGCCGAGCAACTCTGTTCCCTTAAAGACCCCGCGTTTCATTGTAAAGTTTAGAGATACGGGCACCTTTATGTGTTACATATGCTGCAAGCTTGATACTATATGAAAGGTGGTCTTTGTTCAATGACAATTAGCTAGACCTTGGCAGAGCAAAAGATGCAGAGGGACGTCTTTGTGTATCCCAGCTACCTTGTATGACTGGAAGGATTGATGGATTATACTTTATGGTCATCCACAATAGTCCATATATTGCCAGCTAACAGCCATTTCCTCTCAATCAGCACTGTTGGCAAATCCAGTGGATGGGAGGGATGCTCCTGCTCCAGACATTCATTTCCATGATCGGATTATCTTGATTCGAGTTGATTTGGTTGAGTTACGGTCAAACAACATTACATCAGTTGAGCTAGATCGTGCATGCTTCATGTACGCATTGATGTAACCCCTCTTTGACCGTAGCCTGATCAAATCAGCTCGGATCAAGATAATCCGATCATGGAAATGAATGTCTGGAGCAGGAGCATCGTTCAATTGTAATGGATTAGACAAAAGTTGGGATTGGATGGAAGTGGCTGTTAGCTCGCAATGTACGGGCTTTTGTCAACAGTATATAGTATCATCCTTCCATCCTTCCAGTCATGCAAAGTAGCTGAGTTACACAAAGAGGTCCCTCTGCATCTTTTGCTCTGCCAGGGTCCAGCGACTTGACATTGAACGAAGACCACTTCCCATATAGCATCATGCTTACAAACATAAAGGTGCCTGTATCTCCAAACTTTACAATGAAACGTGGGGTTTTTATTAGAGCAGTGTGCTCGGCTTGGCCAACAGCACCTTGGGTGCCAGTTTCACGATCAAGCTTGCCAATCCCAGATTTCGCATTGTCGCCACCAGCCAAACTGGATCTGGGGGTCGACCTCTTCGTTATAGGGAGGCTTGATTTGCCTCGATTTTTATTGGGAGTATGTCGAGGAGTGATACCCCAAAGATGATACAGCAACGTGAAAGTAAAGAAGACTAACTGAGAAGAGAAATAGATCAAACCGGATCATTGTGACTCGAAGAAGAGACACTTTCCGATGCAAAAGAGAACGAAAAGGGGAACGCTTTCCCCTTGTTGCGAAGTGTAGCATAAAGTCTGTCATAAGATGCGCTGGTCAGTGTTTCAGTAATGGTTCTTGCTTCGTCGGAAATAGGGAACAGGCGGTTAAGTAGTCTGCGTTGGCGACCAGTGATAGGTTTGGCGTTGGGGTCAGTATTGGGCTGAGGTGGGATAAAGTCGACAATAAGCTGGTCGTTGTGAGCTTCACGATTGGAAAGGTCATCAGAACGCATTGAAACATCAGAGTCGTGGCTGTGGGCAGAAGAAAGTGTGGGCGATGGAGGCGATGGTGGCACGTGTGGTTCTTTGTTGTTGGTTGGCGTTGGGGTGCGATGATAAGAACATTTTGCTGCACGATGGCCTGGTTGACCACATGACCAGCAAAGACGATTGCGACTTGGATGACTAGGACATGATGAAATAGAGTGACCGGAACGATGACAGTGTAGACAATGTAATGGCATTTCAGCCCATGTTGCATAAAAGAAGTCGGCGGAGTTGGGCCAAGCAATCGTGTGTGTGAGTGGGAGGAAATCGAGTGAGGCTGAAACGTTTAATGTTGCGTAACCATGTCCCATAAACAAGTGGGAGTCCTGGTCACGAAGAATAC